ATGGTCCTAACATTCAAAAGCAGCTTTTCGAAGCGCAACACCTGTGAGTTTGTACTTCCATCTGGTGTTATGAAAAGGTATTGCAGCCTCAAATTAATTTAAAATCCACCGGGCAACAACATGCACTTAACAAGCCAGATTCCAAGCACTGTAAATTTAAAGAATTGTACCTTATAATAAAGCACAATATAAAGATGCAAGTATAATTTTTATGCCCATAATTTAAATCCTGAATTTGCTAGATGTTAGCTTGTATTGATCCGAATGTAATAGGAAAGACGACAGCGTGTAAAACTCCAACCCGATTAATTTGTTAACATGGAAAATAAGGATTAATGATTTTCAGTGTATTCCGTGTCTCGCATAATGTACGTAATGATATAGTACTTTTGAGAAAATAATTAATACCAAACTTCTTTTCTAAAGGCTCGACACTTCGAAAATCCCAGGATTTTGCATGAGCCCCAGTATTGAAGAGCCCCGGTCCAGTTGGTCTTCTGCTTCACCCAAGCTCGCCTGCTTGTGAAAGCTCAGCAACACTAACTAGTTTAAGCCACTGAGCCGTCAACAGTGTTTCAATGGAGGGAACACTGGTTCGTGAGGGCTGAAGGAAATTCTGATTTGTATTCCAAACGATCTCTAAATAACTGAACACACTACCTACTTAACTGCTCGTAGTTGAATTGCTACAGTCCTTGACAAATTACTTAATTGCTGCCTGTAAAACAAATGCATGAACTGCGGCTCTGCAGGACCAGAGTTTGATCTAGAACAAGGACGCAGATATTTCAGAGACACCTAGCAAATAAGACAACAGCAAATGTATCTCGCAACGTGTGCCGCGTTGCATTCTAAATTGCCTTACATAAAAAGCTGACCTGCGCTTAAAATCGAGCAAAACAACTGACGTCATGGGGCTTACTTCTGTTATGAGCAACAAAATGGTAACAGAACGTCAGAAGCGCCGCTGGTGTAGTGGTATCATGCAAGATTCCCATTCTTGCGACCCGGGTTCGATTCCCGGGCGGCGCACATATTTTCCTGGGGAAATATTTTTTTCTATCATCAGCGTCGTTTGTAATCATTTTATTATTTATTTTTGTTTATGTCATAAATGAGGAAACAGGAAAAACACAACAACTCATCATAAACCGAATGGTTTCATTTTAGGAACTTACAGTCCCGAAACTGACGTCTGCGCCGAACGCTTTTGACTGTTCCTAGCCACCGCGGCACCCTACTGCGCATGCGGGCTGCTATATCCGCTCCGACTCAGCCGCCATCTTGTGTTGCTTTTCTATTGTTCAGAATAGGAGCAGGCGGCGACGGGAGTTTGTGTGCTTCAAGCCCTTCTCGAATAAAACCCCGTCGAAAATTAAACAAAAACCACAAGGGTTCACTCTCAGGGTTCGAGCGTTTCCTCTGTGAAAATGATGGACGAAGAGCAACCCAAGACTCTGTGAGTATATATTTTTTTTTGTTTCGATTTCTGGCTGGTCCGTATTCAGAAGGAGCTTCATTCAAACGTGCACTCTCTTGGCGCTGTTGGGGAGTACGCACTTGTATTAATCGCTCCGAAACTGCCCGAGATAGGATCCGAGTCTTTCCAAATATATTTCTTTCGACCGGTGTCTTTTAGCGGTGAAGGGGGGACGCGGACAGCCCGTGTTTCGGGTTATGTTGTGCGGACGAGTGAAATGGGCCTGCGATCAAAGCTCACGGCTTGTCTGCGGTTACCCGGTTTTCTGTGTGATGACGTGACTGTTTTAGCGGCCCTTGTACAGTTATCAATAAAAGTACCGCGTCGGGGGGGAAACAAAGAATGTAATTTGTCCACCCTTGGTCGTTTATTGCTGTCGTTTTCTTTATTTTTCGGTATGAATGTTCGGGGTTTTGGGTGGTGTGCTGGGCTGGTGAGGGGACAAGGCCTAGTTTCGTGTCATCTGAGCTGTCGGACTCGGTTACGTTTCCCCAAGGTGTCCGGCGCTGCCCGGGGAACAGTTTAAGACGGCTCCCAGCTATCGATGTTTTGTGGTCTTAGTTGTCCGACAAGTTTATATTAATCGTTTCTAGAAGTTAAGGAATAACTGAGTTCAAGGCCCTCCAGGGTAAAACGGTTTTGCGTCGGGTTCAATGGCGCCTTACCACCCCCTACCCTCCCCCCCCTTACGCCTTGCTGAATTATTCTTTGTTTCAGTCGCCAGCCAACGTCCTGTGTGTTTAGAGATTATTTTTTTTATATCGTTCTTTATTTTTGGCGCAACGGCGTTTACGAGGCCGGCGCTGCGTTATAGTCAAAATGGTTGCTCATACGTTGGCCGTAACACGCTTGCCGTCTTTTGTGGCAGTTACGGGCATTTCTTTGTTATTGTGTAACTATGGAGTGATTTTTGCTCCTTTGTTTTATTTTCGTTCAAACGAGAGATATATATTTAAAAAACGAGAAACGATCGCTACTCCATGTTAGCAGTCGAACGCGATCCGGGAAATGTTTTGCCCACGAAGACGTGTTCAATTCTCCCCCCCGGTTGTTAATTTGCGAGTGTCTGCACCATTAAGATACCTAGAGGACTGACGCAGATTCGGGTCGAGTGAAGGTATGAAGGGAATGCGGAAAATACGGATGTGCCACCACGCCGAGCTCTTCCTTGCGTCATCTCATTTTCTTTAACTTGTTCTTAACTTTTGTTGCACACGCAGTGCAGTGTGCAGCTGCTTTACTTCACAGTGGTTGTGGGGGGAAAAAATAAAAAAGGCCTCGTACTTCTGCCGTTTTTAAGGACTCTCCTGAAGGAGAGCTTTGTTACGCTGTTGTTCACCCGGTGTTGTGTGTTGGGTTTTTTTTTTTTACAGGTACGTAGGGAACCTTTCCCGGGATGTGACCGAAGCCCTTATCCTTCAGCTCTTCAGTCAGATTGGACCCTGCAAAAGCTGTAAAATGATTGTTGATGTAAGTATCAATCTCCAGGTGCCAAAGAAACGAAGTGAGGTTGGCAGATTGCCCTGTCTCTGAAACGGGCATATCCGTGTTCTTGTTTTTTTTGGCCCCAGTTGAGTATCACGTTTTGACACGTATAGGTGAAACTTGTGCAGTTGCCAAATTTTGTTTTTCGTACGCATTTCAAATTTGTGGTAAATGCGTGCAATTGTTGTGAGCTGGCATGCCCTTAGTTCCACATAACCTTTCATCACAGGGTGATGCGGTTCCTGGTGAGTCAGTCTATTATCCTTCAGGCTCCATGGTTTTTGTGTTGTAATAGGACTGATTTATAGTGCAACCGAGTTCGGATTGCCTGCAGCAGTGTATTCAGATAGTCCGGACATGCCAAGGTAGTGTTCTTGGACCAAATTGCCTTCCTGGTTTCGTGATCTATTTATCAGGCAAGGATGGGTTTCTCAACTCTCTTCATTACTTGGTGCTTCTCTTAATGAGCAGGCTGTGAAAGGTGTTCCATTGGAATATGTATCTTGCTTGTACACAACTGTGCAGTGGATAAAGGACTATGGGAAAAACTCTTACTAGGGGTTTCAAAGTCTAACAGTATAACAGTGCATACGTAAGCCAGTTTGGGCATACTGTGATGTCATATTTGCTAAAAGTGCTCAATGTGTTCCTATCTACAGACGGCCGGCAATGACCCATACTGCTTTGTGGAGTTTTATGAGCATCGGCATGCTGCTGCTGCCCTAGCTGCCATGAATGGACGTAAAATAATGGGTAAGGTAAGCTATCGTATCTACAGGGTGAGTTGGGCTGGGTGGGGATGGAACTGTGAATACTACTGTTCAGTGTGAGGATGAGTTTTTTTTCAGATGCTATTTTGTAGACCTTGTTAGCCAATGTACTGTGCTTTACACACAGATCACTGGTGTCTTTTTGTTAACAAGGCTTTAATGTCAAAAGACTTGACACTGGCAGCAGATAATTTGTATTGTGCAAGTTGCAGGTTCTAGACGTATGTTTTTTTATTTTTGTGCAATGCCAAGTTTGAAAAGTAGTTCTTAACATGGAGTAAAATGATCCTCATTTCAGGTTATTTTAGACAGACATTTGACAAATCTGCACATTTTTAAGTGTTTTGAATGACGCATCTCAGGAAAGATCGTGGTTTCTAAAGATCCACGAGTTGCTTTTTAAAATAAGGACAACTTTTATAGCTGACCCCTAATGTTTGAATACATCCAGATTCCAAATTAAACCTGAAATGTTCTTTTTAATGGTGTCTCTAAACAAGGTAAGTAATTTCTGAAACAATTTGGCTCACTTTTATCACATGCAGCGTGTTAATCTGTTAAGTCAAGATCACTGTTCAGTTTGTTAGCGAAGGGGTGAGCTGTGATAGTTCGATTCCCTCTCTGAACCAAGTGCCTCATGTTACAGTGTACAAGCTATGAAAGTGTTAGTGACATTCTCAAGCGCAGTGACTTTTTCCACTTTGTATTGGCAGTGGCATTAAACTGGCTTGAACAACTTCATTTTTGCAGAAACATTTTCACACAGTTTGCTTAAGGAAAGACTTAGCTTGAAAATATTCAAATTCTGGTATACAAGTGACATCTTATTTTGAATCTGAGAATGTATCGTACTGATTTGCAAATCCTCATTTTGTGAAATGGTGCAATGTTTTTTCTAAGTAAAATGTAGACATTCTGTTACATCAATATAGTTGTTGTGCTGTGTGGAATTTGAGAAATTGCGTCAACAGTGAAGGCCACTCTGTTTTTGGTTTGCACTGGCTGGATGCCTAGTATCTGTACTTCACTTTTTAAAAAATTTTCCTTATACTATTAACTGAAATGCCTGTAGCTTTAGCAGGAAAATGTTTATATTTCCTGTCAATTTTCTTATACAGGATTGTATAAAAAGTCTTGGGACACCAGTAGTTTCGGTAGATGGCTGCTTACAGATTTTACGTCTTCCTTGAACACAAGATAAGGCTTACAATGTTTTTTTTTGCAAATCTAAAGTCTTGGAAGATCATTAACAATCTACAGTTAGTCATAAGGTCATAGCTTTAATTTAGTCATTAATATACAGGGAAGATGGAACTGCTAGTTTGACAGATGTTTCTCAGATTTGTTTTCCTTCTGTTTCTCAAATATATTTATGCAAGTGATGGGGATGTTGACTAAAGAACAGGTCTTGATGCATTTAACAGAGGAAACTTATGAGTATTGCTGCATGCATCTGTGCCTGTGATGCCTTGAGTGTCTGTTTTGAGGCAGATCTGTTTAATTAAAAGGCTTATTAGTGCTCTATGTAATCTAGCAATAGCAGCAGTGTTTCCTCACACTATGGCGTTGCAGTGTCTTCATTTCAAATGTAAGTGCACCACACTTAACAGTAAACAGTTCATTTGCAGTGCAATAATAATAAAAGGAAATAAAACCATGGTTTTATGAATTTGTCATGAGGATAAAATTCAAAGAATTTGGAACATTCAGGGTGTCCCATGACTTTTGATATGATATTCATAATTTGTAGACTTTAACACAGGGTGGTTATAAAGTAAGTGCTTTGATTTGTACTTCCCTTCTGTCACTGCACTGTAGTCCCCGAGTGCCTTGCCCTATAGCCACCCATATATGCCTCATGTTTTTGCAAAAGCTGTAGCTTTAAAAAAACATTCAGTTTCAAATATTTTATCCTCAACAGGTAATGAAGGACCATTGAGGAGTTAAACAAGTTCATATTTTCACTCGTTTGTAAGTTCCTTGTTATTTAGACCTTTTTACTCTTACTAAATTATTCCAAATTACAACTAGAGAGAAATTATGCAAATATTTCATATGATTGTGATCAGGTTGTCTCATCACTGCAAATGTTGAGAGATTCTCACATTGTACATAGGATTTTAGTTTTTTACCACAACCGTTCTATGCATGCTTATTTGAATACATATGCAAATTGTTGCTGTTTTTTTTTTCTAGGAGGTTAAAGTGAATTGGGCCACAACACCAAGTAGCCAGAAGAAAGACACAAGCAGTAAGTATTTTCATCATAATGCTCATCAGGGAGACCTTCCACACAATTTTGAGGAGTAGTAGTAGTATAGAAAGTTGGATGAAAGTGTAGTGAGGTTGAAAGATCTGTATTACCAGAAAGTGTCACCAAAGGCAGTAGTCCTCTAAGTCTTGTGGAAATTTGTACCATCTGCCATCCTGTGGGTTTTGGAAAGGTCTGGATATGGCCATATCCTGACTTCCTTCTAGGAACAGCTAAAAGAGATCCCAGGATTAGTTGGCTACCGCTAAAAAGGCTAAATAGCTTGAAAAGTTTCCTTTTGTTTGGAGCCTCTGTTACATGAAGAATTTGTACAGACAGTAAAAGAGCTGCTTCAATTTAATTAACTTTAATGTAGTACATTCACTGCTTTTTTGAGAGAGGTTGTTGTTTCCACAGACCGCCTTATAACTAATTTAGCTCTGAAGTCCTTGGATGAAGAGCCTAAATATTATATTCCAAATATTACTTAAATGAATTAAATCTGTATGTTCCATTTCTTTTAGATCATTTTCATGTCTTTGTTGGAGACCTGAGCCCAGAAATCACCACAGAAGATATTAAAGCAGCCTTTGCACCATTTGGAAGAATATCGTAAGTGCTTACACTTTTTGCTATGAATGCATACAGTCTGAATACATCCATTCAGAAACTGGGCTTCATAAACATCTTTACAACTTTTTATTGATTTAAAAAAAAATTGGTGTATGCTAGTGAATTCTGTTAAAAAGACTTGTCTTCTTAGTGTCTGCTAGGTGTCTAGAGCCACTAGTATTTGACTTTCAATAGCGCATTAATTCAGTGTTTAAAAGGGTGTAAATTACTTTGAGCTTGTTAAACAATTTTTAATGTAAGTTTCACATCTTGATCCGTCCAACTGATTGTTTTTTTTGTGTCTGCAGTGATGCACGTGTGGTGAAAGACATGGCTACCGGTAAATCAAAAGGTTATGGATTTGTCTCTTTCTTCAACAAATGGGTGAGTTTTTTTCCCCTGTTTTTCAAGCGGGCTTCTGCGTCGTTTCATGAGAATTTAATTCAGACACACTGCTTTTTTGTAAAACTGAACTTTATTGTAGATACTCATGGTATGATTATTTTAAGAGTGACTTAAATTGCAGACAACTTAAATCTGACATTCAAGAACTCATGCAACATATGTTTTGTTTTATGTGCACACTTTGTGTTAATACAGGATGCAGAAAATGCCATTCAGCAAATGGGAGGACAGTGGCTTGGAGGGAGGCAGATCAGAACAAACTGGGCTACCAGAAAGCCCCCTGCTCCCAAGTCTACCTATGAAAGTAAGTTGACTTGCTAATGTTAAAAGGGTATTCCCCTTTTTATGTAACACCAATTTGTAAGCATTTCATCACCCCTGCTACACAGCCCATCTGTACCAAGATCATTTGAATTTAAATGAACACTGAATTCAAGATTTTAAACTTTTTGGGGGTTCTTGAGCAAGTAATTTTTTTTAACCTTCTGTGCAGTATTGAATTCCATGTGTTTTCTGCTAAAGGTGTCTTCACTCTTCCTCAACAGCAAATGCTAAACATCTGTCATTTGATGAGGTAGTGAACCAGTCTAGTCCAAGCAACTGCACAGTCTACTGTGGTGGAGTGACATCTGGGCTGACGGGTAAGTGCTTTAATACTAGGGCAGATCTATCCTGGCATTGGATGGGCGGCCTTGTAAATAGTGGTTGCACAAAGTATGGAGTTACATATTGTTTTTATTTTTCTAATACCTTTTGTCCTATTTTCAGAGCAACTGATGAGACAGACCTTCTCCCCTTTTGGGCAGATCATGGAAATCCGAGTTTTTCCTGACAAAGGTTATTCGTTTATCAGGTATGTGAAGCTTAAGCACCCCTATTAAGTATTGGCGCGTCCAGTCTAAAATGATTTTTCTATTCATTTGTTCACCCACAACACTAAAACTAGTTCATTCACAATTCTGAAAGAGGTTTGTAGTCTTCTCAAGGATTTGTCACTTTGTTCCAATGAAGCCAGAGACTGTAAATTTGGTACTTCCTTTTGAGTCAGGGGTGATGCAGGGCATGTGGAGAGATCATTTTTGGTGATATTTGACCGAATGCTGCATTTTACTGTAACTGGGTAATTGGTCATTTTGGATCAGCAGATAACTAGATATTTAATAAATGCACTGTTTTTATGATGTAATCTAGAGAGACAGAGAAAGATTTTACTAATAAACATTTGCATGATGGCCATTATATACGGCAGTCATGTAAATTCTGACCAAGCAAGCCCATTTATCTAATCCTTTTCAACAATTCTTCCTATAATTGGTTCTCATGTAAGTTTTAACACTTAATTCAAAGGAAGGTCTTCCTGTTTTTCTTGAACTTGTTCTAGATTTAACTCCCATGAAGGAGCAGCTCATGCTATTGTGTCCGTGAATGGGACTTCAATAGAGGGGCATGTGGTCAAGTGTTACTGGGGCAAGGAGACTCCAGACATGATGAACCCCATGCAGCAGGTACAAGTGCCCCAGGTATGGAATGGAGACCTTTTCTCTTATGAATCATCGTTTGTGTTTTGAGCACAGGCCGCAGAGTGGCATATTTTCTGCAAAATTCAAGTTTTGTTAGAAATCAAATGGCTGTTAATTCTTTTATCCTTATCTTTATTTTAAAACTTCCTTCCTTGCATCATCAGTACAGTAACAAGTGATTTCTACAAACCTATAATGTAGGGTATAAAATGAAAAAAAGCAACATAGCCCAGGATTTGTAATGGGCATATTGCATAAATGCCTATACTACCTTTGAAGCACCAGGGTGAATGTTTACAACAGACTGTTTATTGTAGGTAACCTTTCGTCGCTGCACTCTGTTTATACATATGTATCTGTATCCGAGATTTTTAAAATCTTTTGAAGTGCAGTTCTGAGTAGGAGTAGAGGACCTTGAACATTAAGAATGTCAAATCTTTCTTTTGCAGCAAAATAAAGTAGGCTTTGCCCAGCCATATGGGCAATGGGGACAGTGGTATGGCAATGCGCAGCAGATTGGTCAGTATGTCCCCAACGGTTGGCAAGTGCCTACATATGGAGTTTATGGGCAAGCATGGAACCAGCAGGGCTTCAAGTAAGTAAGCGCAGTGTCTGCCACCGTGCTGGTTTAAAGATGATATTCTAGGACACGTTCTTCGTTCTGTCAAATTGAAGATTTCCCAAGTTCCAATGAGAAGTCGAGGAAGTCTGGGGAGTTACCTGCATTTACTAAGTATTTTGAGCTTTTTTTCTTTTTTTAGTTCATGCTTTTTTCCCAGAATTTATAGGTATACTGCCCATTCCAAGGCACGCACCTGATCATTTTCCTCATCTTACCCATCTCAACACAGTTGAACTCTATGAACTGAAAAGGTTCATTTCAATCTAATACTCTTGAAAGACATGACTTTCGGACTAGAGGGTGGGCTTTGCCTCACTCCTTCCTGGTGTTAATCATACACAAGTGCAATGCAGTTTGTAAGTGGATCTGCCCCCACTTTTGGGTACAGTTGAAATGTTGCATTTGATACATAAGCAGACATCCAACTTTTTAAAAATTTTCCCTCCTTGATTGTGTATGGTGTCATTTTTTAAAATGAACTGTTAACATCTGAATTTTGAATTGTTTTGTAATCAGCAGTATTGCTCATATGTACTTCAGAACATCATATACAGATTGCTGTTAATCGTGTTCTATGGGGGAGTTTGGGCCGTATGATGGGGATTTGTAATTAGTACATTAGTAGTCTGTTGTCCTGTTCAAACTGGTCATAATGTGTTTTAGACATTGTACAGTTTACTGGGCTAGGGCTGCTTTGGTCAATGTTTTTCAGAAAAAAACATGCTGCAATACAATTAAGTTTTTTTTGTGCATATTCAGCATAGCCCAAAGATAACTGTGACCCTGCATTGGTTTCTCATCTTTGGTATAAAACTTTTCTTCTTTTTAAAATATAGTATTTCTATATCAGTGCTCTAAATTTGTGTAGCCTGACATATGTGGTTTATGTACCAGTCAGGCATGTAAATTTCTTCAGTGACATTTGCAGAAAAGTGTGTTTTTAAACCTCAAACTTGAACATTTGCACCCAGATCCCTTTTAGCACCATGTGTTGCATGTTGTTTCCCAGTGTGATCAACAGTTTCTTGCTTCTGTGGGAAGGGTGAATTGAGTAAATGCTTCCTTAAATCAAGTTCACAATGTTGAATGTGTATTATGATGCTTTTCCGTAAGACATGTAAAATTGAGAAATATTACCCCTGAAAAATGTAAATTAAGTATGCTTTTGATCAACAGTCATTAATTTTGTATAGAATTTTGACAGCCCTGTTCATTTTGACAGAATTAGTTTCCTCTGACTTTCATGCAACACTTTTAAGTAACCAGAGGGCCTTAGCTAGAACTAGCTTGCTTTTTAATTGTCAAACATTACAACATCAGCATCAGAGACGGTCACCGAAAAAGACGATATGTAAACGAGGTGGACAGAAAACCAAACTAGTGATGACATCTTTAGTGTTCAAGTGACAAGGCTAATTTGACTCCTAATCACACTGGCCATGCCATTTTAAAGAACTGCAGGAGTCAAGAGTGCAATAAATAGACCTGCCCCATCTGAAAGCTGCCTTTCAAGGCTTTATTTGATTATTATCCTTGGTAAATCTGAGTTAGGCTGTTCATACATTGATATGGGTAAGAAGATTGGCCTCAGACCCTGCTCAATTTCTGAGTTAAAGTGTAGCAGCACCTGGTCAGATCTGTTAATGAATAGTGTCATGATGCTTGAATGTTAGCTGGAAGGGTTTAAAAGTTGGTGCTTGGCATACGTTATTCTGTATTCAGTGATTCACTGGTCTGATTTTCATCTGCTACTGATGACCATTTCAAGTGGTTTTGTTAGTGCATCCAGTTGTATTTACCAACAGTAAGTTTCACTGGGAGCTGTCAGGGAACTTATTTTTGGATGTAGTGTCTTTCCTATTTTAAGTAGGTGGTTAAATGCTGAATTGAGTATTTTGAGAGCATCTGATTTGGGGTATTGATCACCAAGAGTGCAGTTCACCTTGTTTGTACCCAAACTTCTTTTATGTGGCTTTTAGGTTTCCTTAAGAGTGAGGTTGGTGAGATCACAGTACTTGTGTACGGTTGTCAGTAGCAGGTGGAAGCCGGTATGTAGTGAAATAATTCCTTGGGTGGGTCATGGGCTTGTGGGGCTGCCTGTCTTAGGTGTGTTTTCATCTTTTGTCATATCCCTCTGACACAGAATAGGTGTTTGGAAAATCAGTGCCACACTAGAGTGTTCCTTGATATTGCTAAAAACGTCTGACTTCCAACCAGCTAGACTGGTCCTGGAGACATGTAGGCTATTAAAAGTGCTTCCACTTATGACACAAAGCAAAGTTATTCTGCACATGAATTGCATATGGTGGAGAGACCTGTATACCCAATTTTCCAAGATTGTGGAATTGTGCTTGATGTTAATATGGATTGGCATTGGTGCTTGTAAGGTTTAGTAAACATTTGCCTGCAGTGCTCACTTCTACTGCATACCCTGGTGATTGGCATGTAGAAATAGGACGCTAATGTACCACTATTTTTATACAGATGAAAGTGAATCGTTTTAGTACTGCCTGATAGTTTATCAATTTTGTGGGTGATAAGATGCATATCATAGGAAAAGTGGGATTTCTTATTATCGTGACAATGTCAAGAAATATCAGCCTAATTTTGTATTAAATGCTGATTTTGCAGTTAATCAGTAATTGGCAAAATGGACAGTGCCTCCCCTGTCAGAGTGATCAGACATTTGTTTGGTGTTTAATCAAATGTTATTTTTATTACAATCCTCTGCAAAATTGGAAAGTAACTTCACAAGTTTTTAGCAGTTTTGTGTCAATTTTTTTTTCCTGGAAGGAATAAAAGGCTACTATATTCATTTGTCCATGTCTGAATATTTCAAATGCATGTAACCCTAACATTCAGTATTCATATGTGCTTTAAACTGTCCTTTTGACTTTAGGTAGATGGTCATTATGCTGTTTAAAACTTTAAATATATAAAACCCAACTGAACTGTATTGCATTTCTGACATTGGTTTTAACATCTTTTAACTGAATCAACTTTAACAGATTGCATATATAATACCCCCATGATTTTTTTTCTTCAATAGCTGGAAGAGAGTCTTAAAATGCTTACTATTCTAAATGGTGATGTGAAAAATGAATAGAACTGACATATAGTCAATTTCACGTTAACTGTTGCACTGTGCGAAGGTCTTTGACTCGAGCCAAAATCAAGTGAATAATATTTAGATGCACACATTAACAATGTTAATAGTATCCCAGTAGGAACTGAGAACCCCCTGGAACTAAAATATTTGTAAAATCAGACTTAAGCCAGTGCTGCTCTTACAGGAAAGAGAAAAGGCTGCCATACTAGTACTACTTTCCCCTGGCTGTCTTTTTATGAGGAGATGAAAAATGGTAATCGCTTCTTACTAGTGGTCACTTTTGAATACCTGATGACTGCAAGTTCTATACAGTGATAAACGGTTTGTAAAGTGGCTGTTTCTGTTATTGCTCTGCTTGAGCAAAATGTTTGTGGTCTTGAAACCTAGAAGCAGGAGGAGCATCTACAATATAATATTGACTGTGGGCAGATATAGCCATCAGTCCTGTACTATTAGGAACATGTCCTGTTTTTGTAAAAATTAAATCAATATTAAATTAGTACAACTATGACAGTTTTCCTCCTTATTTCAGCGTCCAAAGGTTTTTTTTTGACACATAAAACCGTGCTCGCCAATTAGCTCACATTAATACTATTACCTCTGAATTTTGCTGGGGATTGACTGAGCTACTGTGATCTTTGCTATTCTCAAACAAGTCACATTTACAAGTCAGATTTATTCATCATGAAGATACCTTTCAGGAGCAATCAAAAGGTTAGGGGAAGTATGCTATAAAACCATAATGTCTAGGGCTTCTTCACTCTAAGCTCTCACCTTTGGACTGGGCTGCTAAAGAGCTGAGCTGTAGGCAGTCCTGTTACTGGTTTAACACTACTTGAACAGACCCGCGTGCTGTAACTTGTGTGTCCCATTCAAAGATCAACTTGCACAGCTCTGGTCTTTGAAGGTCTCAAGGTCTTATTCTTTAAGATAACTAGTTATCTTACTTGAGCACCTAACTCAGTACATGGGGGGGGGGGGGCTTAGGGTACAAAAACTAGGGGATTTTTGGAGTTTTAAGACCTTCCAGGATGTGTTGTGTGTTCCAGGTCATTGTTTCAGTGTGACCTTGTGAAAGTCATATCTTCTTTTAAAAACATTGCATGTTCTGTGTGATATGGTGTCCCTAGAGTTTTGCATTTATTTCAGCGATATGGCTGAATTTGACTACAGCAAAAGTCTGTTAACTCCAGAATGGACTTGACTGAACATTGCAGAAATCTTAAACTTCAGTCTTTACCAGCAACTGATGGGAACCAATAAGTAGATAAAAATACAGAACTTGGATTAGACAATACTTACCATATTTTCGTCCAAGGCACGTGTTCTTAACACCGCATAAATGTTTTTGACATAGCATGAAATGCCCATTGCTTAAAGTGATACATCTGCAAGACCAGGCTTATTTTCCGCAGTGCATGTACTGATTTTCAGTGAACATAAAAATTTAAACTCTTTAGCAAGGCTGTGATGCTTTTTTTTTATATGGCTTCAATGCTTTAAATTACAGTGAATGACCAAATCCACTTTGTGGACTTCTCACTGCATTCAGCTTGTTCAAGAAATATATATATTTTTTGCTTTAGGTAGTGCTTTTTCCTTCACCCCTTACATTTTGGTTCATGATCTGTCAGTTTATATTTTGACCTACTGCTAATGCAGTGCAAATGATGGAGATGCTCCTAAATCTTTTTAAACTTTATACCAGTTACTTGTGGTGGAGCATTTTGTGTATGAGTCTTTCTCCTTCATTCTTTTAGACCCAGAATATTGGTGTTTTAAATTGACCCATCCTACATTTGTAGTAGGCCTGGACCAAACTTGTTTCATAGTAATTTGCACAAAATTCCAGTGTGAAGGGGGTGGGGATGGCAATTTTAATCTTAATCAAATGAGTTTAGTAATAACACCAGTTTTATTGACTGGCCGCTGTTTTCGTTAGTAGTTCCAAACTTGAGTAACCTGACGGTGGTGTTTTTTTTTCTTTGTCTAGTCAAACACAGGCCAGTGCTGCGTGGACGGGTGCTAACGTCAGGGTTGAGCCCACACAGGGACTGAATGGCTGTGTGATAGCTAACCAGGCAGGATTTGGCACGGCGGGATACCAAACACAGTGATTAAGGCGTGATAAGGCACGCACATACAAAATTAATACAAGTTTAAAAGGACTATGCCTTTGTCAGTTTAAAAAAGGAAAACAAATGTGACCTTTTTCTACAGGGAATTAAAGTAAATTGATATTTTATAATGAGGACGTTTTTGGTTTCTTGTCATTTGGACTGTCATTAGTTATTGGTGTAATTTTTGTCCAAGAAGGGGATGGCCCCAGGTGAATGGGATGAAAATCATGTAAAATGTTCACGACCTAACACATTGTTTAGAAGTTGTTTTATGAAAAATCTTGGATGTCAGCTGTTGTACATTTTTTTTTTAACTAAACAAATTGCAGGGATTACTGCCACTTTTTTGTTTTAAAGGCAGAAAATATTGCACAATACTATTGTTTTTTTCACAAAATTGATGTACTTACACAAATGATAGGTATTTTTAAATTTTGCATTCCACTTTTTCTTTTGTATTGGAGGGCTATTACAAAACTGTTGTATGTAAATAACCAAACATTTAACTCAGATCAAATGTTTTGAAAGTGTATAAAATCAAGTAAAACCTGTTATTACTTTTTTTTTAATCTGTTGGAAGCAACTCTGTTAACACTGGTCCAGGAGAATCTGTTCATAGTGCATGTTTGTGATCCATCTAGGTTAAATTGATGCATTGCTATGCAGTGCAGAATTAGACTAATTAGACTTCTGTGTATAAAATTGATATTTTGATTTATGAAACCTAAATTGATCAGAAAGGTGCACTGTTAATTAATTGAGGTTATAATGCCAGACTTGGACAAGACCCATTACTTTGCCTTATTTCCATTTATTTTATTTAAACCAGCTATCACTAAGAGTAGGCAGTGCCTAAAGACATTCTCAGACATGCTTTTGAAAGAACCTTTTTTTAATGTATATGCTACTATAACGTGTTCTTGCTTTAATGTCCCATTAAAATGCAAATGCATATAAATACACTGTGATAACCTGTGTGGTCTTTTTCTATCATTTACCTATTTTACTTTGGCTGTGATGTACACTATATAAAAATTATGGGATGTTGCAACCCTTGACACAAGTAACAAATGAGAATTCTGGTTTCCCTTACTAGAGCTAATAAATACAGAGGCTAAATCTAGAAAGTTATGCTCTATCACGTGCTCAATTTGATGAATAATGTATACTGCTACACAAGACTTCATGATTGCTCCTTCACCCCTAGAGAGAGACTGTGCTGCCTAGGAGTGTAATTGTGGTCTTCTCACTCAGGCACATTCATAAGCCATAAGCTGCCAAATGAACAGGAAGTTCTGTATGATTGACAGTTATTGTATAACCTGGAATGTTATCAAGATCACAAAAGTAGTTCTTGATTGTAAAATTCTGATTACAGGAGGGTCCCATTTTATAGTAGAACTTTCATTAGATGGATAATATGTCAAAGCATAGAACAGCATAGAGAACAGTTGCTTTTGCTGTAGGATGGGAGTGGGTATTAATTTTCATAAAACGGTTATTTTGAAGAAATCAAATGTTAACTGCATGTTTTCAAAGTATGATGCTGACCGCATCCCAGTAGCCTGTAGGAAGATAGTGGCAGACTTCTCGGTTTCCGGTTGTGTTGTAAGAGACCAAGGTTAACGTATGGCGGGGAGGTAGTAGTCAGATCAGGACTACAGTTCCCAGCATCCTTAGGAAGCTGGGGCTTCGTGTCATGTGACAGCGGTTTGGCCAACCGGAAGCCTCGTTACAGCCGTATTGCTGAAGCCTTTTGTAAGAAGGAATGGCGTCGAACGTGAAGGAGAGGCAGCGGCTGAGTCTGACAAAACCGACCATACAGAGCCAGCATCGGAGGTGTTAAAAACCAGGTACACTTCAGTCGAAGCCAATCACGCAATAGAATTGCCGATAATACATTTATTGCCATTGGGGCGGAAATACGGGTTAAAATGACATCGTGTTGTGCTGGGTGTTGGCACTGAACTACAGCATAACGCGCTAGTTCAACCTTGCAGATCTGCAAGAGTCTTTTATTTGCAATGCTTTGAGGAAGAAGGGACATCACACGTGACTCTTTTCCAAAAGGGGTTTGCAGGCTCGTGCCGCACCGAGAGGTCGCCAGGCGACCTGCAAAACAATTTGTCATTAAACTGTAGCCAGCGAACCGCACGAGTTAGCATCCCTGCAAAAAAAAAGTAGGACTCCATTTACTTGCAAATACCGCTTACGGGCGGTAGTTTATGAGCACAGAATGAATTTACACCAGTCGGAGGTTATAGAATAATAAAGCCCACTTCATAAACGCCTCTAGCATACAGCAATATTCACTGTCAAATGTAAAGAAAGTAGCAATTGCAGAGGTTAAAAGGCATATTTCAGACTATTAAACGTTAGCAATTAAATATGTAAAGTGTTTTTCGCTATCGGTCACTGCGTAGGCTGATTTTGTCCTGAGCATTACCCAATAAGTGTGCAGCTAAAGTCAGCTTTTACTACCTGTTACGATGACTTTTTTAATCCTCGTCTTCATTATTCTGAACAGCGCCTCAAATTTTTTTTTCTAAAAATGCAGGGATTTTTTTCGATTTTAGAGAACTTTTTCTTTCTGCAATGTTTTGAGTAACACTTGAATTGAAATCATTTAGCTAATCCTTTGCTGGTCAACGTTTGTGGCTTCACGAGGGAGGCAGGTTTCTGGTGGTTTAAACCACAGTAGTCGCCAACGCTACCTTTTCTGCAAAATTGGGATGCTTGTTTTCACTTCTGTAAAAAAACTCCGTGTTTTGAAACCCGGTGTTCAAACCTCTGTCCCCCATGTTGGCCGTTGGTAGGCGTTTGCCGTTCGCTCTCCAGGCAGATGGAGGGGACGGGGCAGGGCACGGGGGTTCCTGCTGCCCCCGTGTCCGCAGGACCGGCTCCTGCGGCGTCCGGATCACGGGAGAGAACCAAGACCCCCTCTTTCCTGTCGAACCTGGGCAAGCCCACGCTGAGGGGCATCCGGAAGTGCCCGAAGTGCGGCATGTACAACGGCACGCGGGGCCTGAGCTGCAAGAACAAGGCGTGCGGCGCGGTGTTCCGGGACGGCGCGAGGAAGGCGCAGGCCAGCGCCGAGGCGGTCCGCGTGGTGACGGGTGCGGGCGGGGGGGCCGCCGGCGGCGAGGCGCAGGTGTTCTCGGTGCGGCAGAGGGGCCGGGGGCCGGAGCAGCGCGGCTTCGTGGAACTGGGCGTGACGGAGACGGCCATCTCGACCGCCGACGGCACCCTGCTCACGCACATCAGCCTGGGCCACTGCTTCGTCCCCTCCTGCCGGCAGGGCTCGGCCCCCGGCAGAGGGGCGCCCCCCGCCGCACAGCCCGCACCCCCGCCGCAGCAGGAGCGCCCCTGCCTGCACATGAAGCAGGCCATGGAGTGCCAGGCGGAGGCGACGCCCCTCACTCTCAAGAGCTCGGTGCTGGGCTCCCTGCAGGCGCCGGCCGAGACCAAGCAGGCCCTGTGGCAGCTGGCCACCGAGTCGCTGGGGCCGCTGGTGCAGCGGCTGTCGCGCGCGGTGATGGTGGTGAAGTGCCAGCGCAGCGCCAGGCACCCGCTGGGCCTCCTGCACCTGACGCTCGGCGAGCGCAAAGACGGGCTGCGCTACCACTGCGCCTGCCAGCGCGCCGCCAGGCCCGAGGGGGCGTCCAGGACCGCGCTGAAGCTCCCGGAGGACCCCTCCTCCTCCTCCGCCTCCCCCTCGCCGGCGCTGGCCGACGCCTCGAGCTCCTGCTCCCAGGAGTACTGCCTCCATCTCTACGCCTGCGTCTGCGCTTTCGCCAGCGACGAGAAGCTGGCCGCCGAGTTCTCGGGGTTTTTCAGCTACGATGCCGACGGTAGGTGACTGCCGGCGTGCGTTTTCACTCGTTTTTAATCGTTGTTCCCGCCTATCTGTTTAAATCTGGCCTGTGTCGGCGGGTTTCACCTGAATCGAGCGCACGTTCCCCCCGGCCCTCATTTCTTAGAGGGCGGGACTGTTGCACAAGGCGCATCACTTCTGTATCGGTTGTGAGTCAGTTGTCAAAGATGAGTTTCGTGCCTGGACCCCATTTTGAGTTTTACAAACTCAAGCATGCTACATTTTTTTTTTACTTGACAAATGAGCTAGAGCTGAATTATTTCTAACCTTTCTTATGTTCTTGTGTCTTCTTTATGTTCTTCATGAAAAGCTCTTTCATCATTGCAGGTCAGTGCCTCGTGTGACGTGTCCCGTGATGAGCAGGCTTGACCCTCTCCCTGTGTTCTTCCTGTGCCAGGTTTGCACGTGGGCGCTGAGTGCTCTGTCACGAACGCCACTAACCCCCCCCAGCCGGCTGAGCGCTGTACCCCACACAAACCCAAGAGGTCAAAGCTAGAAGACAGTGTGGCAGGTCAGCCCCCCCCCGCCCCCCTCCCCAAGCACACATCAGCCCAGTTTCAGCCCACAAGCAGTCACCCATGTGCTACGCCCCTGACATGAGCAGTACAGGTGTACTTATGTGCTCAACCTTCTCATGATGATCTTCAGATTCTCACTTAGTGTTCAGTAAGGGCTTGTCCTTGGCACCTGGCCCCTGGCCCCTGGCCCCTGGCCCTGTTCTTCCCCCCTTCCAGCCTTGGTTCCTCAAGGTTTCCTCCTGCTTCAGTCTAAGGGAGTTGTTCCTTGCCACTGTCGCCTCAGGCTTGCTCACTGGCGGTTCAGGCCCGGAAACCTGTAGAGCTGCTTTGTGACAAAATCACTGTACAAATAAAACTGGATTGAATTGAATTTGTTCTGGAAGGGTGAGGAGGAAAAGGCTGCATCTATAATTAATATAGACTTCAGATTGACCACATTGATGAATCACTTCAGAATCAACATATACTTTACCTCCTATTACTTCTACAGCAAAACCCCCGTTTGAATATTAAATTTGAATCCTTTGTGTGCCTCAGCAAAATGTGACAGCCCATCTGCTTTTATGTAGGAAATGATAAATAGGGTGACGAGAGCCGTCCAAGAAGAAAAGTGCCTGTGAGCAGGTACCTGAAACGGTGATGTGTCTTCTGACTGTACCGCGACAATTTCTCGGCTTAATGAGAGAAAAGCGACGTGCTCAGGGAGTGCAGGTGGCAGGAACATTGCTGCACAGAGTGACTGGGGCATTCAGGGTCACTATCAGTAGACTTCAGAAGGCCCATCTAAGATTTATCTCGGGTGTGCAGTTGTGTTTCTAGAGTGTTTCAGTGTCTGATCTTTTCACAGTCAGGTAAATGTAGCTCTAGATTGTGCCTACTTCATATCTGTGATGCACATAATCAGCAAGAAAGAATATGCACAGCACAGCCGACGTTCTGTGGTCTCTGGGTGAGGTGTATTTTATCTTATCTTGGATAAAGTTGGACTCCCTGTAATACCTCTGTGTTCTCCCTCACCTCCTTCAGCCAGTATTCCCACCCTACCTGCAAAAGAGGGGGTCCCCAGTTCTCTGCGGAGGTTCACCTCCAGGAAGCACCCCATTTCCACAGTGCTGAAGAAACCAGGTGGGAAAACGAGGGCCTGCCAGTTTTTGCAGGTTGCCGACACACTTCAAGACTAGTGCACGTGTGCAGGTTTCAGTGTGGATGTTTCACACTGACCTGAGGAGATGTGAGATCTGGACATCACACATGAACACTTATTTTGAAATAAGCTTTGTGCAAGAAGTGGAAATGGACGTCAAGAGCAGGTTATTGTAGAGATATGCTAAATTAAAGATACACATTGCATTGAGTTTTTTTTTTAAACGAGATCTGCAGCTTTTCTTTTCCTGATGCTGTTTTTTTAATCTGTGGGAGTCTGCAGTGTAGCACCTTTCTCTCTGGCTTGTGAGTTTGTAACAACTTGCTTGGTTGGGTGCTGTAGTTAAGGCTTTAGATTTTTGGTCTTTATTTTCAAATGACACAGCTCCCTTTTACACCGCAGGTACAGCTTTCTAGGAAATCAGTGCCCTGATTTACAGCAATAGATTAGATGAAGAGAGATTTTCAGTAAGCACAAAACACATTTTTGTTTTCTGCTGATGATAACATTTGTCAGCAGATCTCTTGTACCTCAGGTGGCAAGAATACCCAGAATCGTCTAAATACACAGACAGGCTGTGGGGTGAAAGAAACACGAGACAAGTCACCTGTCAGCTGTGTTTCCATCCCAAAGAGAAGAAAAAGAGCTGGCAGTGCAGTGAAGACATGAGCTTGCAGGGGGAACCAGCCATAATTGCTCAATCGTTTCACAATTGTTCATTTGTTTTTTTAGTGATCTCACCCATTTGGCTCAGAGAGAGAGTGTAAAGGGATCATCACACTGTCAAAGATTCAACTCTGAAAAATTCAGAGTTCAAAGCCCTGCCTGCACCTATCGTTGTCAATATCATTGAGGTCTGCTGAAGAAGAAAAGAAAGATGTGCACTAATCAGTAAGTGTCTTCCGTGAAACGTCTTCCGCAGTAACTGTGTAACACCTTGTGTGCCTGTAGGAGGCGCTCAGCCGGTGGACGACGAAGCCCGCGTGTCCCTTTCCTTCCAGCACTGGCTGGCCAGCGTAACCGAGCGGATCCACCAGACCATGCACTTCCAGTTCGGTGGTAAGGATTCCCTGCAGTTTCAGTCCGCAGAGCCTGAGCATAGCCAGATGTGCAGCCTTAGTGCCCAGATAATAAACAGCACGGCTATGCAGCACCAGTAAGTACTTTATCTGCATTTTCACACGCCGTGCAGGGCCTGATGCAGACAGCCACATGGAACTTGGGCATTTATACAGCTGGATACAAAGTAGGTCGAGAAGGCTGGACAGTTCCTTCACTTGGAACAGTTTTTAGATTAGTGTGCTGGATCTACTTTAAAAAAAGACCCTTCTTTGTTGTAGAGACTTAAACATTCAGCATATTTTACTGGAGTGGCTGTTCTGTTACGTTCATGATTAGAATATCATTAAAAGACTTTGACAGGTAACTCACAAACAGAGGATGTCTTCATTATTTTCCTCCAGTGCAGCCTGTAGAAACTCCCAGATAACGTGTTCTTTTCTTCCCTTTGCCTGCTGGCAGGTGTGCTGATCTGCCTGCGAGTTCTCTGTCCAGTACTTCCTCCGCGTGTTCGTGTCTGTCTTTTTCCAGGCAAGCCCGACCCCCTGGTGTTCCACATCCCCCAGTCTTTCTTCAACGCTCTGCAACAGCGCCTCTCGGCCGGCAGCAAGAAGAAGAGGCTCCCGAACTCCACCACGGGTGCCTCTTTCTTTTACTGCTTCACCCCAGGGCCCAGAGACAGCGGGCAGCACCAGTTTCGTGCTGAAGGTCAACGCTGATTGTGGAGGCGTGACCAAGCTGGTTCCTTTAAGACATTTGCAATAAAGCGATAAACTACTGCAAAGCCACGCTTCCCCTTTATATTAAGGATCTGTGTTAGGTTGCTCATTTCAATTTGTATACTAAAATGTTAATGTTTTTTTTTATCTTAATTTTTTTTTAAGAAAATGCAAGCTTTTCAAGATCCCCCCCCCTCACTCTTTTAAGAAAGCTTAAAAGGGCTACTCTCAAGTAATGTTCATTACCCCATAGCTGGTGCCCATAGCTGTATAAAAGGGGAGCAGTATTTCCTGGTGTACCCCTGGATCCCATACTCCAGAGTCCTCTTGCCTTTCCAGAAAGGAGAATAAGCTCTGGCCTGATGAGGCTCTAGGCTGGAGCAAGGACTGCGTCCTTTCCCTTTGAGTAAACTGTGTGACTCCAGGCAGCTTTCGTTTTCAGATTAACGAACAATAAAATAAAACATCATTAATCAGTGCTTTTCATGGTAAATGCGAAAGATCTCCAAGTGTATCGTGAGACAGAAAAAGCAATTAGCAAGTGTCAACATGTTAACTGTTTTATTACAGCATTTTGCGCTCGGCAGTGTGGAAAAGGAGCCGATTGTCCAGGCACTGAGACAAATAGATGTGGAAGGAGAGACAGGGCTTTAGGCAGAGTCCTGTAAATATGCTGCAAGATCTGCTCTTCTGTGCACCATTTCAAGATTTTTCTTTTGTGCCATTTGTTTAATTTTCCATTAGCATTTGTGCGCAAAGATGCCCTGCCACTTGGAACCTTCTCCAAATACACCTGGCACATCAACAACATTCTGCACGTCAAACAGATCTTCGATACTCCTGAGGTGGGCCGCCCAGCTGTCTCGCATCTTCAGTCTTCTGTCACCATCTTCCATATTCCCACCATGCATTGGGAAGCACATGCAATTCCCGGAACACTCACTGAGAGAGAGCAAAAACACAGATCTTGTTTCAAATCATCAGAGATTGATCTTTTTAACTTTCATCATGAAACAGTGGTGCAGACTAAACATTGGTTTTCTAAAGTGTTCTTATGATGTATTGATTTGACAAAAGTTGGTTTAAATACATTAGTCATATACAATACATGCATACATACAGTATGTGCATCGTTTCTGTCAATACTTTGCAATATACTGTACACTGCTGTGCAGACATCTTAGACATTTTGCATTGCTCTGCTCTTGTTTTTCTTTATGCAGGAGCATGATGGTGCTCTCGATTCTGATGCTGAGCATTTTGCCCTAATGTTCTAAACTAAAATTTAATCCTGTCAAATCTGTATATTGCAGTAGAAAAAGTAGTGTTCTAACTTTATGAAGTGCGGGGAGAGATAAATGGTGAGAAACATCAGAGTGTAAGTCAGACTTGATTGGTAAATGTGACGGATTAGCTACAGTATCTCGGTTTACTACGGTACCTTGTGTTGGCTGATGATGTTCATCATAGGTTGTTGTCGGGATTTAGAGGATTCTGATGAATGGGCACTAAGAATTCCCCTCGCCCAGGCTTGTCTGTATTAATAAGAACATTTTTCCAATAGCAGAAGTCACTAGCAGAGGCTTTAAGTAAACTGTACAAGCTCATAACATACATATATTGTATTTCCTGACTGGCTCTAAAATCTTTGGCCTTTGCACAGCAGTTTACAAGCATTTATTTATACTGTGTATTTTTTTATAGTACATGGAAGCTTGCCATTCTGAAAACATACTTAGGCAGACAGTCAGTTTATTTCAGTTCTAACTTTGAGAAGGAGTTACTCATCCATCTTGTTGGCAGATGCCCCTGGAGGTGACCCAGAGCTTCGTAAGAAATCGGGACGGGTCGTTTGAGCCATTCCGCTGCCCCGAAGTGCCGGTCGAACCCGAGACGCAGAGCCGCGCAGACAGGCAGCCCTCCATCCGCCCGCTGGAGCTGCGCACCTTCCTGCGTGTGGGTGAGTCCGGCCCCAGGGCCCCAGGGCCCCAGGGCCCCAGGCTCTGGCAGCGAGCGGGTCGTCTGGGCAGAGCCCTTCCTCGCAGCAGAGCGCGGCTCGCTGGCTCGCGTGGCTTGAGCAGGGAGCTTGTACTTCTGGGGTCCCGGGTGCGAGTGCTGTCTGGTCCCGGACAGGAGCGGCTCTGGGCTCCTCACATCCGAGCTCTGCTGCCTCCTGGGCCGGTCCTCATGTTTGTGTGTGCACTGTCCTTCTCTCAGATCAGCAGCCACGCTCTGGCCATTGGACAGTTTCGCTTACGCTTGGTCTTTAAACCTATGAGACATAAGAGATGCGAGTAATTATTTCAACTAGTTATAGAAGACGTCGAATGTACAAACAGTGGTAGGGCTCTCAGCACTGCTACATCGCAGCTGCAGGTTCTGTAAGAACAGAGGAGGTTTAGCAGTCGAGAAGAGGCTCCTTGTTCCCGACTCCCTCAAACCTTTAGGTAAAACAGCGCCTCCTGTTCTTAGTTTTAGAGATATTTCCTCTTAGTTTCCATTTGCTGAATAAACCCAAAAGGTCAACACTGTTGGTGGTTTTCAGGATTTTGAATACTTCAGTTAGTATAAAAAAGTTGTTTTAGCCGGTCAGTGTAGGACATTGCTTTGAACCTGGGAATGTACCCCATTTCATTTTTCAGGGTGCACTGTAGAGCAGCATTGCAGTACATACGGATTTTGTATTGTGGTGCCCAAAACTCAAGTCAGTATTTGAAAGAATAATGTTCAGTTTCAGTTTCTCACAGACATTAGTCTGTGTGGTGTTTGCATGTTGTCCCTGTGCTTGCAGGGGCCTGTGCTAGGTGCACCGCCTAGCTTGCTGGCTGGGCTTGACTGGCTGTTCAGCTGTCCCCTTTCTCCATGGCCCAGCGATGACCTGGTGACACCTTCAGGGGAGAGCCCCTCCCGTGACTCATTTCTTTCTTCCCTTCCCCTGTTCCAGGGAATACCTCTGCGGAGCAGAAGGACCCCACACCCTTCATCATTGAGTGGATCCCAGACATCCTGCCGAGGTCGAAAATCGGCGAGCTGCGGATCCGCTTCGAGTACGGGCACCTGCATAATGGGCACGTGGAGTACTCGGACAGTCAGGGCGGCCCGGCGCCGGTGGAGATCTGCCGGGTCACTGTGCCCTGAGGCCAGGCGGCCCCGAGATCGCTGTGTGACCCAGGGCTCACACGCCACACTGCGAGTCAGTAGATGGCAGGGCGCTCCGTGTTCTCGGTGAGCTGTGAGACGCGAGGAGCTCTACAGTCAAAGTGCTTTCACAGGAGTGAGATACTCCACTTAACTGCTTTAGGTCAGGGGCTCCGTTGTACCGGACTGGGGGTCTGTAAAACATCATGCGCTCTGTGCAGTCCCTCTGTAACTGCGAGACATTATTGGCCATATCGGAAGTCTGAGGCTGGGTGCCGTCTCTCTGTGTTTGTGTCTTGTTGTTCGCTATGTGTACCGTGTGCCGCGTGAGTTATGTGTCGGTTGCCGATTAGAAATGGCGTCTGCTTCTGCAAATAAGCTTCATGCTGCTTTGTGGAAGCAGTCAGTTTTGCTAATCTGTTCTGTTCTTTGTCTTTTAGCTGCTCTTTGTGTAATGTCCAGGTGATGTGTTCAGGTGCTTTCACGTCCCAGGAAATGTGCTTTGATTTGATTTTTATTATAAACACACAGCCCTGCAAATAAACATTTTACATTATGATTTAAGAATGCCTTCTTCCTTCAATGCTCATGAGGACATCACTGCCGGAAAAAGCAAAACTGCACCAGGATTAACAGATCCACCTCTTTAACATGGCGACGATGCTCTCTTCAGTGATTTTCATGTTTCAGGTTCCAGGTTTTTATGAGTAGCTTTTACAATTAATTAATTAAAAGATTAAAAACGATCCTGGAGTTTTAATTCTAAAAGATCTTCAACTACAAGTTACCATTATTGACATTACTGTCAAAAATAGAATACACGTACATTACAAAGGGAAATGAAGTACTCTTTATGGAGGTATCAGACATGTCAAGGATTTCACTTGAAATAATTGCCATTTCTGAAATGCAGTATATTTGCTCAGCTTGCCAGTTGAGGCCATGGAACATCTGAATAAAACTAAAGCAATGTTGTGCCATGGAACTGGTCCCCTTGGTAACTGTTGTCAGGGGGCGGGGTCTCATGCTGGGCTTATACCTGAGGGGTGGAGCCTTCCTTCCACGTGGGTCTCAGCCCAGGTCACAGAGAATCTGCACATTCTTTCATTTCAGCTGAGCTCTTAATCTAACTCACTTTCTAGTCAATACTTATAACACTTAAGAAACTGGAAATTCCCACCTGTCTCTGGTAACCATTTGCTGGCTAACTAGTAATCACATTCAGAAAGAAACAAGGTAGCAAACTCTAATAAACAAGCTGTGGCAGGAGTGTTTGTTAAACATATTTGAAGCGTCAGCAGTGTGTCTTTGAGATGAGTGAGTGAAAGATCAAGTCAAGCAAGAGGTTCAGCTGAAGGGATTCTGTGTTAAAGTTCACTCAATAAAACAGAAGACAATACATCCTCTAGGACCATGACTTTGAGCCACTACCAGAATATAAACATACATTAGTATTACAGTTTATATGTGGAATTGAGTAAATTGTCATATTGGACTTCCATAATTGTACAATATGTACTACTGTGATTGAAGGTTTTCTTAATAAATTGTAGATTTTATGTGGACTTAAAGTGCTTGAATTATGTCTGTAACTCACCTTAGGCAAAGACATCTGCCAGATGCAGTCATTTTAATAATTAAAACTTCGACTTAATAGGCACTAAGCAGAATTAGAAGTATGCACAGTTCTAATTTCAGTGTTGGTAACGCAATAGTAGCTAATGAATTCACAGCAATATGATCTTTGAAAAGTCAGACTGGAATACTTGTGCTGTTGTAGGTGATGTCATAATCAGAAAGGTGATGTCACAGTGTGACGATTAGAACTATGAAAACTACAGGCAGCGACTGCAGACAGGGGAATGCGGAGGAACAGCCGGAGGAGAGGAACACTTGGATATCTACAAAAAGAACAGCCAAAAATATGCCTGAGCACACACACTCTACCCTGAACTGTACGTGCTAAGAGGTGAGTTCAAATCTGTTTAAAACTTCACTTAAACTTTGTTCTTCAATAATATGAGTACTAAATTACAGAATGTATCATAGTTTTTTCCTCATAGCTAGCACACACATTTACACCCACCACTCGGGCATCAGAGCAGGCCTGTAGTGGGTCTCCCACACTGACAAGCTGAGGGCATAGGGATAGGGGGGGTGAAGCGGGAGCTGTTTCTTTTTCCTTATTCTCGCACCTATGACGTTCGCAGACGCAGCAAACGGTTTGCAGCCATGAAGTAGTTTGTGGATCCAGCTGAGCCAAGGGCAAAGTAAGCACAAAACTTCTGCTGGAAGGACAGAAGACGAGGCAGAGAGCATGGCTGAGGCCACAGGAGACTTACTGCCCATCTCCCACCCCCTGTGTTTCTACCGCGGCCGGCGGCTCTGGTGGGCCTACCTGACCTCCTCGCTGCTGATCTTCCTGGGCGGCGGCCTGGCCATCATGCTCTGGAGAGCGTGCCACAGGGCCTTCAGGGTGCAGCAGCAGCCCCTGTACCACAGGAAGGTGAAGCACCCGTTTTTCTGAGAGGGGGAGTCTACTTCCTCAGCTGTTTAACACAGTGCAGCCATAACAACCACTTGCACAGTGACATGATTGAAAACGTTTATAACTTTGTTTGAGTGTGTACTCATTGTAACATTGGTATTCTGTACATTGTCGAATGAAGTATATTTTTTAAAACAAAAGTGTAATGTTTTTTTAGGAAAACCCATGCAGATAGCACCCTAGGAATTGAACCCCAGGCAACAACGCTGAGAGGCAGCAATTAATTAGCCTCAGAGGTAGATAGAAAAGCAGAGGAAAAGATAACTCTTTTAAAATGTTAAAATTACCCAGCGTTCAAGCTTGATATTGGTGTTTGTTAACGCGTCCTATCCACTCAGACTTTGCCATTGCAGAGTGTGTCCTGGATTGTGTCTTCATGCCCTCTGAATGCCCGGGGGCTCCCCTGTGTCTTCAGTGTTGTTCTGCGCTGTCTTGCAGGGACCCCAGGAGGAGTTGAGGGGCGCAGTGAAGGAGTGGGCCATAGCCCTCCTGTCTGCGCAGACCCGGACCGGGAGAGTGCTGGTGAGGCGGGCTGGGGGGGGAGGTAACGAGACAAACAATAATCACCATAGAATCCATAGAAATCTCAAGCACTCCTCTACGGTGACATTTCACTTTGCATGAACAATACAAATTGATAGGCGAAGGCATCAGGCACTGCTTCTGTTCCTGCCTAGCCTTGAAGGTACAGCGGTCAGAGAGATATGACAATCATTTGACATTTCTCAAAAGCTAAAAGAGGTGATTTTCACCTCTTGTACCATTAAGGGTTAGGAGCTGGACTGTTTAATAAACCTGCAACCACATTTCCACTCCCTGTCTCCTTTCCTGTCTTTGTCCTGCAGATGGTGCTGGTGTTTCTCTTCAACATTGGCTCACTCATCACCTATTTCATCCTCTCTCAGGAGTGAGTGTCAGAGGGGTTGTATGTCCTTTCAGTTTGGGCTATTTAGGCAAAGAAAAAGAGCACAACAGTGCATATCTCATTTACCTCCATTACTGGTGCGGAATAGGTTTGTCCATCTTTGAACTGACCAGCTCACGGGCCTACAGACTGACAGACCTAATTTTTCCCCGTTTCGCTTGGCTTAGGATCATTCTCCCAGGTGAAGTACAGTATATGAAGTTAAACCTCATGAAAAGTTTATAAAAATTGTGAATGTATTCATTTTTTTTTACAAAAACAGAAAAAGAAACAGTGCATTAAATAGCATTAAATTAGAATTAAATAGCGTCGTTTTAAAATGAACGTCATTTTCCACAATGTTATCACAGTGGAGAGTAAAGAAAAGAAGGTGTTCTTGAAGAGCGTTCAGGCCGCTCACACACTGCGTGGTCTCTGTCTCTGGCTCTCACAGGCTGGTGGAGTCTTGCCAGCTGAGTTATGACCCCGTCTTCCTCATCGACATGGGCTTCAACATCTTCTACCTCCTGTACTTCGGCCTCCGGGTGAGCATCACCCCAACAGTGAGGTTTTTCCAAAGCTCGCTGTAAGCTTTTCGGACAACTGTGTGGGACTGTTTTGCTGTGTCCGAGTGAACTGTACTTAACACACACACAAAAAATGACCAGGGTCTTCTCTGAATGAAATCCAGGATTCTATTCGTGACACTGCCCTGTCTCATGAGTTGGACATGTAGTGTTCCTGTTCTCTCAGATCGGAATACAGGCTGTGAGCTGTGTTCGCAGCGAGCGAATGCCAGGTGAGCTAGGATAGCACCAGCCTGCCCTGCCTTTAACACTGTGCTCATGCCCTCTGGTTGCCAGCTGGTGGCAGCGCAGGACCTGCTCCGCTTCTGGGTGGAGGTGAACTCTGTTGTGGATTTCTTCACTGTGCCCACCTCCTTCATCTACCTGTACACCCAGCGCAACTGGCTCGGTCAGGCCGCCCGGAATCTCGCAGTGCGCGCCACCCCCGCCGCACACTCATGAGAACACAAGACAGGCCACACACCAGGGGAGGCCATCCTGCCCTTTTGGTAGCTAGGAGCCGACTTATCCCCGCATCTCTTCCAGCCACTTGTGGAAAGAAGCCAGGGTATCATTATTGTGTAGTGTGTTCACTACTCCCACTACCCTTTGGGTAAAGAAGCACCACCTGTTCTCAGTTTTATGTGCCCTTCCACTCAGGTCTGGACTCCCCATAAAGAAACATGCGGCGTGTACATACGTGTGAGGAGACACAGTGAAATCCTACATACACATATGCACATAATGTGCCATTTAACAGGCGTGCATACACAAACACACACCTGCGCATCTGCACAAAACACACGCCTGCCCCTTGATCCAGACAGTATATTGCTAAGGTGCACTGAAGCCACAGGTTCCTCACATGCTACAAGACACAGACGCCAGTGCCCAGTCACAAGGAGCTGCTCTCTTCTCCATCCAGGCCTGCGGTTCCTGAGGGTCCTGCGCCTCATCGAGTTCCCCACCATCTTACAGATCCTCAACATTCTGACCAGCAAGTAGGTACAACAGATGGTGTAATTTCAGAATGAAACACATGAGTTAGACATCTGTTTCTAACCACAGGGATGCAGGGGAGGCTTCACTTAGGAAGGGAGTTTTGCAGTGAGGGGTGGCTTTGTGATTTACTACTAAATGGCAGGCTGGATCGGGAAAACTTCTTGGGAATTGGAGGGGTAGAAAAAGAGGCAGAGGGTTTTGCTGGAGATAGGCAGTCTGGACTAGAAGAGCATTTATCAGGGAGAATGAGGCCACTCCCACGTCTTCCTCTTCCTCCTTGCCAGCAACTCTCTCAAGCTGTCCCGCCTCATCGCTATGATCCTGAGCATCTGGCTGACCGCAGCTGGCTTCATCCACCTGGTGAGTTCTCCCCGCTGCGGCCCACAGGACTGGTTTCCGTGTGCCTTGATGATGACTCACACACTCTCTCTTAACACTACATTCGTACAAATGAAGCACAGAATGTAGCAGACCATTGAATGACTGTCTCGTTATTGTTGGGTATGGCTCTTGGCTGGACAAAGGCAGATTCCAATCCTCAAAAGCTGCGGCGTCTTCTGGTTTGTATTAGAACCTCTTCCTGGTTTTAATTGCTTAACTGAAATGACAATTGGGATAAGAGGCCAAATTGGCTGTTCTTTTTGGTCTAGACTGCTCATTGAGAAAATATCTCCGAAACTGTGCGAGACCTAGAAATCCCCTACAGTGCTTGAGCTGCCCATTGCTCAAGCCTCACCTCAAGCATTAGCGGAAAATCCTTGTCCTGGAGGACCGGTGTGTCTGCAGGTTTTCTTGGCCTCTCACAGGTTTCAGAGATGTTTTCTGCAGGACCAGTATTGCCCATTCCTAGCCTAAAGTCTTACATTATCAACACACCTGGCGCAGGGTTAAGATGAGTACAAGTACAGCATGTTGGTATTCCCAGGGCACTTGGGACTCACCTAATGTATAAGAGAGAGTCTCAGGACTGAAACCTGCTGGCCTACAGCTCTCTCCTCTTTTCAAAGTACTACAGAAGGAGTGGAAACATTCCTTCCAAACAGCCTGTGTCCTCTGAGGCAGTTGAGAGAATCTTTAGAAAAAGAAGAGCATTAACAGAAAGCCAGACAACCACATGTGAGGGTTCAACATAACTGTTAAAAGCGTAGTACGCAGTGCAGTGTAAGCACTCTGCAGGTACAGAGGTCCCGGTCAGTGTTGGGTTTGTGTTGCTGTGTCACAGGTGGAGAACTCAGGGGACCCCTGGCTGGCCTTCTCCAATGCCCACAACATGTCCTACTTTGACTGCGTCTACTTCCTGATGGTGACCATGTCCACAGTGGGCTATGGGGATGTGGAGGTCCACACCACCCTGGGCCGCCTGTTCATCATCTTCTTCATCACCATGGGCCTGGTAAGCAAGGCTGGGGGTCCTACCCCATTGCTGGGATGGACAGCAGGGGCTCAGTGATGTGCCGTGGCACATGTAGGTCGGCATAGTAGCAAACAGAGACCAGATGTGGCGTTTGCAGTTGTCAGTGTCCTGTAATAGGTCATCTGTAGTCCTGCTGTCTTGGATCAACACAGGACATGTCAAGTTTTGAACAGGTAGCAGGATGAAGCACTACAGTAGATGTCTGATTACAGGAGTGGATAATAATACAGGAATACAATGATGAGTCCTAGGTGATGATGCTGAAAAAAGAGAAAGTGAAACAGAAAACAAATCTGGAATGACGAGCTCTGGACGTACTCATGGGTGGCTCTTGCTGATGACTGGAGAGAGCCCTTGGCTTGTGCAGGGCAAAGGAAGATTGCTCTGAACCAACCAGCCCCCCCACCCCTCTCTCTTTCTTGTTTCCAAGGCCCTTTTTGCCAGCTATGTTCCTGAAATAGTGGAAATTATCAGCAACCGGAAGAGATTTGCCGGGAGCTACACTGTAGTCAGCGGGAGGAAGTGAGTGTTCAGCTAGAAATGTCTAAAAGTAACAAGCCCTAAAAAGCTACATGTTGCAGTTTCCCAGTTTCCATATTTCAGGGTTTCTGAGTCTCTGGGGTTCTGAGGTTCTGAATTTCTGAATGTCCCAGTTTCTGAGTTTCTGAGTCTCCCAGTTTCTGAGTTCCCCAGTTTCCCAGTTTTCCGAGGGGGGCAGCTGTTCTGTGCGTGGTGTGTCCTCCCGCACTGTGTGGTTACGGGGGGACGTGCTCTCTGTGTGTTCCAGGCACGTGGTGGTGTGCGGAAACATCACGCTGGCCAGTGCCTCCTACTTCATGAAGGAGTTCCTGCATGAGGATCGAGGGGTGGTCAACGTGAAAGTGCTCTTCTTGGGAAAGTGAGTTGTAAAATGTTTTCACAATCCCTTCTATCCACTATCCATTACACAGGGGCTCCAAAGACTGCATGCACAGCGGCACCCCAGTTTCCCTCAAGATACAGCAGGATGGGATCTCAGAATCAATTCGTTACTAACTGCTATACCTGCTGGCCTCCTCTTGTTTGTAACTATTCTTCTGTTCTTAGGAGGATTAAAGTTTTACAATGTTTTGGGGCATGCAATTATACTTCTGGTGACTTCAGGATGTTATACAATGTGGATGACTACTGAAGCAATTTGTACGTAGAACGTTTGGAAAACATATATGAAAAATATCTGAAAATGTACAGTCCCGTAGTAAAATCACAATGGACTGAATCTAAAGTAAATGCAGGTGCATGTGGGATTTGAGTCGTACTGTATATGTGAAGGCTGTCTGCCTCTGTCCGCTACAGTTTCTGCCCAGACCCAGAGCTGGAGGCCTTTTTCAGGCGGAATTTCTTACAGACGACCTTTTTCCAGGGCTCAGTCCTGGAACATCAGGACCTGGAGCGAGTGCAGGTAGGGCTGAGGTCACAGAAGGTCAGAGGTCATCATAGTGGAACTGAAGTTGACCCTGTGTGTGTGTGTTTGGGGAGGTGGGGTTCAAGCAGCACACGGCAAAGGGGAAACTCTTCAGATCAAAAATGGATCTTGTCAAATATAAAACTAAGAAGGATGCTGTGTTGTTCCACGTCTACCGATGTGTGGTTGAGAGACATCTGTGCTCTCCTTCGCTCTCCCTCTGTAGATGTGCAAAGCAGATGCCTGCATCATTCTGTCCAACAGGTTTTGCGAAGACCCACAGACAGAGGACACGTCAAACCTCATGAGGTAGGAGCTTGTCTGACTGTGGCAAAGTCTTCAAATGCATGTCCCTTTCCAAAGCTTATCAAGACAAATAAGGAAGTTTGACACCATTTTTTTTCCTTTTTAAGGGTGATCTCTGTGAAGCAGTACTGCCCTGACACTCGAGTCATCATCGAGATGTTGCAGCACAACAGCAAGGTGATAAAGAACACAAGTAGAATAGTTCATGACTGTATTTTCATAAATTCCTAGTTTACCTAATTTATTGTTGAAAATGTTCGTGGTGTTACAAGAACAGCGATTACAAAACATCTTGAATATGGTTAAACATCTGCTCAACAGCAGCTCAATGCAGCCCGGCTGTAATTTATTTTTAGGCTAAAACCAACAAGCACAGCTGTATGATAAATTTAAAATCTGTCCACAGCAGAATTGAGCAGCTCCTCTGGTCAAGGGCCATAATCCCACAGGTTTCACAGCTCCATTTAAATAAGCATCCGAGTGTGTAAAATTGGTCTAATTGGTCCAATTAAACTAATAAGTTCAATGATGTAAGTAAGAGATGGAGGGACACTTGAACAGTCTGCAGTCCTTGAATATGGGGGTTGGGCTTTCTTGGTCTCAATGGATGCTTAAAGATATTTGAAGCTGTCAAATGTGTGAGTTGTTTCAGCAGTTTGTTTTAATGTCCGTAAAGTTTGTCTGCTGCTCCTGTTCAATGTGGTCTAATGAAGTTGGAAGGAGTCCATCGTATAGCTCCTTCCCCTACTGGCTGATGTTTTATTGCTATCTGGATATTTAGCTATCTGTGGTTTCCTCCCCAGGCACACCTGCAGAACATCCCACACTGGGACTACAGCCGTGGAGACTCTGTGATCTGCCTGGCCGAGCTCAAGTTGGGCTTCATGGCTCAGAGCTGCCTGGTGCCCGGGCTGTCCACACTGCTTGCCAACCTCTTCACCATGCAGGGCGAGATCGAGGTCAGGCTCTCCTTGTGCCTTGAACATCGTGTGCTTCCCCTTCAATCTCTTTGACTCCTCTCAATTCTTTGCCCTTAGAGGCTAGAGACAGTGGTGACAAGGTACCCCTCAGTGTTTCCCATGCAGGGGGAGACTGTATTCTGTCCACTGTTTTCCCCAAAGACCTTTCCTGTTCGCCACTACTGGTACAGCCCCACTCTCCTAACGTAGGCCAGCCTGTAGGACTACAACCAGCCTCACTGCCTCATTGAACTCTGATGAGTAAGATGGCCTGTGCTTTGTGTCTCAAACCCACGACCTCTTGTGTGCAGATGCACAAGGAGACCTGGCGTGCACACTACATGGCAGGGCTCTATAACGAGGTCTACACTGAGTACCTGTCCAGCGCCTTCATGGGGATGTCCTTCTGTGAAGCCAGCAAGTAAGCGACTGTTCGCTCTCCTTCAGTCAATATTTGCTTTAATCAGTGTGAATTTGTATGAATGCGTCTTAATTTAAGTGTTTTAACAAGTGTGGGAAAATATTAATAGCAAACTATAGTCTCTTTGTTACCTCCCTGTAGCCTCTTCCTTTAAGACAAGCCAAAAAGAGGTCGACTGAGTAGAGCCCCTCTCTGGGGTCCTGTTCCAGCAACCTTCTTAGATTCTTCTTAGCTTAGATGGCAAAAGGAAAGCAGCCTGCATTCCTCAGTTCTCCTCGTTCAGTTCAGTTGGTTAGAGCTGTGTGTTAACTGACCATGTCAAACAATTCATTTACGGGAAAAATACTGAAGTATCCCTCCTGGAAATGTCCAGTTTAGCCCACTCCAAAGCAAGCGAACCTAACAAGACTAACGTCTACAGAATTTAAAAGCAGCTCAGCATCAGTCAGGAAAGCCTTAACCCAGCACAGTGCTGAAATTATGTTCCCTCATCCCACTATTTTCATGGCTTTGCAGCATACGTGGCTTTGCAAAATGGGAGAGCGGTATTGGGGGCTAAAATTATGACCTGAAAAGTGAGTTACTTTTAGGATACTGAATCTTTGGAGGCTGTGGTATGCTGGCTGGGTCAGTCCTGCTGTTTCCTCATCCGTGCTCGGCGCCTTCTGTCTCCCAGGCTGTGCTTTCTCAGACTGAACCTGCTGCTCATCGGCATCGAGTACTGGACTGAAGATGAGGAGAGCAGGTAGAGGCGGTGCATTGCTTATGTAGGGCATACAGGGGACTGCCTGCATACAGCACAGTACAACCGTGTCAAACCACATACACACGTGCAAGCTAAGAAAACCACCTTTCACAGGCCTGTTTAGCATCCTTAACGTGCTTTTTATGTCTGAGTTGGTTGGTCTTACTTATTTAGCAAGCCAAAGGAGATACAGAAAGAGGTCAATGTCCTTATTCTGTATACTGTTCAAAGGTGATTCGTTGAAAGACATATAATGTCAGAAAATTCAAAACTGCATCTTTAGTAGTTTTACTGGAGATGACCCTTCATTACCCGAGACACAGTCCTGAAGTACAGGGAAGAGCCCTTGTTGAGAGTAATCCATGTTGGAAGATGGTCATCCAACTTTAAAATACACAAGTCATCTGTAGATCAGTGGGAGAGATTCCCAGGGTGCTTTGTGGTGAAGGATGCTAACCTGGTTTGTGTGCGTTTGCCAGCGTTGTAGTGAATCCGCTCAGCTGCATCAAACTGCCAGAAAGGACCCTGGGCTTCTTCATTGCCAGCAATGCCAGCGATGCCAAAAGGTAACTTGGAGCACCAGCTGCCAAGAGTGCATTCTGGGAGAACACTAGCGGAAGACAGAGAGTAGGCCCTACAGGGAAAGAGAGAATAAGAATTGGGGAAATAAAAATTAGCAAGAGAATAAGAGCAACAAAAGATGAAGACTAATATTTTTTTTTACTTTCGATACAGAGGCTCCAACGTCTTCAGTAGGAAGAGATGTTCTTGGTCCTTATGTATGCAGGAGGCTTTTGCTCAATAACACTGACTACTTGTCCATCTTAGAGTAGTGTAGTTTACTGCATTACCTGTGAAAAATACAACAGCTATGCACTAGAGAAACCAAAAGATGATTATCTGACTACTTGATGGAATACATGAAGCATCCAAATTAATTCCACTATATTTCAAGTTGCCTGACATTTCACTAGCAACAGCCACACTGCTGAGGACATCACCATCTGTGCAGAGAATGTGTTACAGAACAAAGGCTTCCTGCACATTAGCGCCTCTTCGAATAAACGCTCTATTATGACATCATGATGGCATCATCCCCTCAAATTCAGAAGAACTCCAGAAGCTGCCTGCTTCGGGGTTTTCTTTCTTCAGCTGAAACATTCTGAAAGAAAGATTAAAAATAATAATAATATCAACCCTGTGCACCAACAGAAAACATAAAAAGTCCCCTTTCTGTTGAAGTGATTCATGTGCACGCTGGTTGTTCTGCCTGTAACGCGGTGTGGGAATTGTGTGGCAGGGCCAGCCTGTTCTGCTCCAGGTGCCACAGTGACGTCACCGCCCTCAGCCAGCTGCGCAGGTGCTCCTGCTCCGCCCAGAACAGAGGCAAGTCAGCAGCTCTGCATCTTGAGCGACAAGCGACACGCGTCTGTGGGGGGGGGATTGTTGTAAAACACTACGTTCTGTAGGAAAAAAGTAGGTAGTTTCTTTACACAATATAAAAGCAGACAACATCAGAAAAGTTTAGCTTTTGAACAACCTGCGTGTTTTTTTATTTCTAAAACCCAATATGTGACTTTAGAATTTTCATTTCCTTTCGCTTCCTGCTGTCTGACATTACAGACCTGATGGTCAGACCACTGGTACTGTAACTAGCAGTACCTCCAGACCTACAAGGGGAGCCTGGAGAGACTTTCTCCTTCTGATTTTCTAGGGATGGAAAGTGCTTTTTTACTAACCTGCTGAAAAATTAACTTTTTTCTGAACAAACCTGGATTCTGCAGAACGAGTTTCTCTATTGCCACTGCAGAAAACATTGCCTTGAAGTGTTACTTCCTAGCTCTGACACATGGTGGAGCTGTTGATTTAGCTTTCTGGGGTCAGGGAAAGGCATCCTGCAAGACTTAGCCTTGGATAACGATTTGGTGAAGACATACTCATCATGCCTGTGATTTATTTTCCATCTGTTACCTATAATGAATCAGTTGGACTCAAACCATTTCAATGCATTGGAAACCCCCTCGAGGTCAATGGAAAGTCTTCCAAAAACAAATTTCAGGTGTGCAGGGCCAAAACGTTCACAGCAAGTCAGTTAATTCAGTCTGTCACAAATATTATCTTTAGCAGAACTTGCTTTCTGGACTTCGCAGGCAAATCACAGCTGAGATGCCTCCTCTGTAGCACTGGGCACTGTTCTCTGTGTATTTAATAAGATGTCAGGACATTGTAATGAGGCTCAGTGGTCTGGCTGAGGGCTTGTTTCCCCATGAATTCATCCTCTCCACTGTGTTCTCTGGCCCACAGCTGGCAGGGCAGTGCTGGGACACAGGCTGAGGGCGCGGCGACACACGCTAGGAGTTATCCCCTCTTTGCCACACAGGTGAGCCCCTCGCTCTTCCGAGCACGCGCGGTCGGCCTCTCTCCGCACACCTGGGCTGCAGTCGAGTCCAGATGTTGGAACACGCCAGCCGAAGGGGGAGGACACAAGTGGAAAAAAAAAAACTATTATTCCACCTTTTCTCTATCACAGGCTCCATTTTTCTTAAATTAGCACCAGTCTCTCTGGGGGTGTATATTCACATCAGTTGGACGAATGACAGCAACAGTTTCCCTTTTGTCATTTGTAATTGGTCTGAAATCAATCTCAGTGATTCCGGTTTGATTTTTCAAGCTTTTCTGTGGGTGCTTAAATATCAGGTATAGAAAGAGAGGAACAGTAAGTACTGTATGTAGGTTATTTCAGAGATGTCATTGTAAGTTTCTTCTTTGTGCCTGTATATACAGTAGAGCACTTTAGGAGACGTCAACGCATCTTTTAAACAACAGACAGTTGTACATGACTATTTCTGGATCCTTCAAAATACATTCTCTATTGAACACTTCTATGAATGTGGATGAAAAACAGACCTACAAAATGAATGCCTATTCTTATTATATAGCTGCTTTCAACACACTCAAAAAGCACATCTGTTAAAGAAACTAAGTCACATTCTGAAAGCAGCACGGTGCCAGTACACACAGAGAACTCTGGAGTTACAAAGACGAACTGTGGAAGACAAATCTGATTAATCATACAGAAAGCTGTTCTGTACTGGTTTTCGTCAGCACTGAAAGGAAGAAATGAATGAGAAAGATTTCTGTGAACTTTTCACTAACCAGCTGGTGTGGTGTATTTATCTGCATATATCTTGTGTTTGTTAAATCTTTTGCACATTTACTGCATGCATATTGTCTTAAGGAGCAAACAGGCTCCTTCATTAATTCACTGCATCACTGAAAAAGCAAGAGGCTGAACAGTATCTCAGCCAATTAATGAATCAATCCATGTATCAATCAGTGAGCACATCACACCAGCTGCAATGAATGAGGTGAGGCAGAGGCCTGTGTCACTGTTAGTTCTGCTTTATTTTTTGCCAGAGTTTTAAACATGTTATATTTCTACTCAGAGTTTCATTTTACTGGAATTGGCAGTCTGATAAATATGTCTGTTACCCCGATGGCTTGGACTGCTCAAGGCATTAATATTATTAAAATCTGTCACAGGGAAGTGTCGGAAAGATGAGTTAGTGTGAAGATTAGCGCTGTGAAATAAATCATCTGCCTGACTTTGTTAATGCTTATAGGCCTTTGGAACTCAGACAATCCCTCTATTTATATGCTGTGTTATTTTTCAAGGCCTTTGAGGGTGAGTGTGTGTGTGAGAGGCAGAAAGAGTCAGTGTCTGAATGCACGTGTTAAGTCCTTGTACTTTTGTTTGTGTGCATGCCCTGTGCTCCTCTGTCTCTTCTGGAACCTGAATATATTTTCACTTTCTACTGATCTGTGTGCATCTGCGCTGCAGCTGTTTGGATTTCTTAAGACAATGCAGCTCTAAATATTTGATGACTCATTTTTATTAATCAATTAAAGGAGCCATGAATTCCTGGCAGTATGCTGATTGTTGTGGATTATTATGACTGGGTTTGTGTGTTCCTTAAAATGTTTAAGTACGAAATGGGTTTTCCAATATCATTTCTATCCCTACAGATGGTTTCTCCAAGCTGATGATTGAAAACAAAGACCACTTAGCATATACCTTGGGTATGAATGAGAATCGTTAGATATAGGTTTCTTAACTAATTTACATCTGGCAGGCGTTATGGGAGAGTCCGCTCCAGCTGCACGTTACTGCTAGTATAAAGGTATTATCTGAAATGAAGGTCTGAGGTTATTTTCCTTTGTTTTTATGAAATTGCTGTGATCTTGCAGGCCTGCTCTGTGTAGCAGCACAACAAAGCATGGCTGTGCTGAGGGGCATACTTTGAAAATGACTCTTGGCCATAACCGTGAAACTACTACTGCCTGAAAAGCACTCTGTAGGATGTATGAAGTCATATATTGAGATTTTGTTGGTCAGAATCCCACTTCATGTTGCTGAGCAAGGCAGCTCAAGGACAATCACACAGAAACCAGCAATACTGAGATCCTGTGCTCTTGAATTTACAGTAGATGCTCAGCAACACTCTACACTCAACTCTCAAGTCCGGAGGCCTTATCCAGCACACTGACTCTGGCTGTGTGTGTTTTTATAGAGTGCCCATGGAACACCTGCATGCTCAGAAAGAGGAGGGCCAGCTAGATTCCACTGGGATGTTCCACTGGTGTCCCCCTGTCTCCCTGCAGGAGGCCACCCTGGTGAGACCCTGTGCACTGCAACATGAGCCCCTACCTTAACAACAGAACCCTTTAACAAATGGGAGAAGCATGCAGGAAATAGGGAACGTGTCTAAATAGGGAAGGACTGAATTCCAGTAGCCTTTGTGCACATACCCTGCCAACCAAGTAATCACTTCACTTTGCTACTGCTGGATGTAATATATCTAAAGTGCTAAAACTGCTGCATACAAATAAGGGATGATTTTTCCTCCTGAGTCCTAAAGTTTTCCCCATATATTGTTTCTAAAGCTCTATTGCCTTACCTTTAGGGGTAAGTTAGTATTCTAATTTAGCTGAGAATATACATTTTCTTAACAACATGTATACGGAAATGGGTAGTGGGGCTGAGGAATTCACATCACTTTCAATAACTGCTCATCCAATTCAGGGTCCCAATAGCTGCGTCCCTACTCCCCGTAGTGGAAACCAGCCCAGCGCAGGGCACACACAGACACAAACACACACCCACACACACACACCACAGCCAGTTTTCCCAGAAGCAAATTAACCTACCAGTATGTCTTTGAACTGTGGGAGGAAGGCACACCCAGAGGAAACCCACAAGGGGGTGGACATGGGGAGAACATGCAGACTCCCCACAGACAGTTGCCCGTGCCGCCCCCGACCGCGGAACTCCCCTGTCAGGAACATGCCAGCACCTTTCCTCTTGAGCTGCGGGGGGGAGCTGAGCTGTTCTCCTGTGTGTGGCCCCGCAGACGAGGCAGTCCGCGCAGGAGCTGCAGCTGGAGGGCCACGTGCTGGTGTGCGTGTTTGGGGACGAGCGCTCCAGCCTGCTGGGGCTCCGGGACTTCATGATGCCCCTCCGAGCCAGCAACCTCACCGCCGCCGAGCTGCGCACTGTGGTGTTCCTGGGGTCCCACGCCTACTTCCAGCGCGAGTGGCCCTCCATCCACTACTTCCCCAAACTTCTCTTCTTATCGGTGAGCCCCCACGAATCTGCACAGGTCAGATGTCACAGATCAGTCTTGTTGATCACTTTTAAAAAACGAAACTACGCTCCACTCACCCCAAAGCTGTAGGCATGAACTTTATGAGCACACAGTACCTGTGTGTGAGGGCTGCAGGTTGCTTGCTTGGTTTTTGGAGAGGCCAGGATCAATCTCTGCCGTTCCTGTGAGCAAGGCGCATGTGGATATGGGGATTATGTACATTACACCACAGTGACATCTTTACAAGTGCTCACTGAGGACGTACTGAGACCGCCCAGGCTGGGTTTTTCGGACATGTACTCTTATAATCTGGCTTGCTGAGTGGTTTCTGCATCCTGGGGTCAGAGGGCGACACAGCAACGAGCCATCTTCATCGATTTACACTGAGCGAAACAGCTTGAGTCTAATTGGTTAGATAATAAAACTCTTTAGCCTGAAGAACAGATATGTGTACATATGTATAAAACATACAAATCAGCAAATAGATTTATGAAGGAAAGCGTCCAATATGTCTGTGTGCTTTTAAGCAGAGAAGGGTCCTCATTAGCTCCCTGCAGCCTGACAGCGTGCGCTGCTCCAGTGGGCTGCAGCAAGCAGGGAGCATCATTCTTGGCCAGACCAGCGAATTTAAGTGGCCGGGCGGTTCATTAGTCCCCCAGATTCCGGGTCTCGCTTTGCTTTCATCGACAAAAAAGGGGGGAAAAAAAGGGACCTGCCTTTATTTCCCAACAGAGGGAGCGACTATTCATTGGCCCGCTGTAGCAGTCCATGTCTCAATGAATGGCATGGGCCAGATCAAACCTCAGACTGGCAACTCCAGGTCTAGAGAGCAGAAGAAGCCATTCATGGCTTTCTAAAGGCTTTCTAAAGGCTACTCTCCCTTTATTATGAACTCAGCATTGGCTTTCCAAGAGCAGCAAACAGCAGCAAACTCTGCCTTGTGTTCTACTCTTAAGCACCAGTTTCCTATTGTGAAACTGGGGTCTTTTATACTTCCTTACAAGAACAACCTGCGTGTACTAATGAGTGGAGGGCTGTAGAGTCCACATTCACAGAGCTCTGTAAGAATGTGTCTATATTTTTGCATCTAATTGGATGTCTAATGAAGACATCACGACTGTCAGGAAGTGATTGAAAGAGAGGCCATTCCAGGCCGCTGACACAGAAATCACCTTCTTCACTGAAGGACTTCAGAGACGGGAAAGTTCACCGTAGTTAAGGATAAATGAAACATCTACAAAGGTCCACAGCAAGCACTGTATCCAATATCTCTAATCGTATTAGAAGCACAGTGAAAAGAACCGCAGTAATAGGGTAGAAACTACATGAGTAGAAGGTTGCCAAGAATATGCCGTCATTTAGAAGGAATGTGTAGACGGCAAACAAAAACTTTGGTTCCAGTAAGGAGTATGTATTTTGTGTAACCTGGTTGAGTCGTGAAATCTGAAAACTAAAACCTGCATTCGCTGACATTTCTAAAATCCAGTGTTTGCAAGCAGACAAACAACGGGCTGCCCCCTCCCCGGTAAACACGGAGCGCGCTGTGTCTAACGGGCGCGTGTGGCCCTCGGTGTCCGCAGGGCTCCCCGCTGTGCCGCGCTGACCTGCGGGCGCTGGCGGTGGAGCGCTGCGCCATGTGCGTGGTGCTCAGCCCCCAGCGGGCCTGCGTGTCCGAGCCCTCGCTGCAGGACAAGGAGGCCATCCTGGCCTGCGTCAACCTGCACTGCATGAGCTTCCTGGACAGCCCACCCAGGCAGCCCGGAGGACAGGCGGGGGCAGGTAGGCAGCCCTCCGGGGCAGCCGCATTCGGGCCGTGCCGTTTGCAGCCACTGAGGGAGAGGAAAAATAGATTCCTTTCCTCTGCCATTTTTCTTTTTTTTTTTAAATATTCTGCTCTCCCAACAGTATTTCTTCAAGGCACTGTAAGTTATGCAGAACTGCAGTGCAATCAATAATGAGAGCCTGTAATGAGCAAAGCCTATTATACTGTACCTCAGCACACTGACTGCAATAAAGAAAGCGAGGGAAAGACAGAAGGGGGACAAACTAGTTAGGATCTTAAAGGCATAGGATAACTTTAACTAGACTAGGGATATCAAACTCCAGTCCCACAGGGCCTAGTCTCTTCCGGCTTTCATTTCTGGGCTGTCAATTAAATAATTAACAACCTAATTATTTTCTTTGTTAGACATATATAGGATTTGTTTTCAGGTTATTCAAAGCAGTCATCCATTTAAGGTACAATTGTTATACCTACATATCAGGGTCTAATGAGTGGTATTACAATTATGCAGCTGATTAAGTTATTAGCCCAACTATTTAGGCGAGAGGTCTGGTGGAACTAGGTCCTCCAGTGTACCGAGTTTCAATTGTTTACCAAATGACATGGTTTACCACCTCCAGCCCTGATGATGCACACTGTTCTTCATTGCAACTAACACTTTCATAGTTATATCTATCCTTCCGATTAACAATTAAAGAAGTGCGAAGCTGGGTGTAATAAATACTGCAATGGAGTGGATTAGAAGGGTCAGAGTTTGAGAAGCCCTGGTCTGGTTGCTTTTTAACACGCCCTGAGCTCATTGCATTGCAGCAATGGAAAGACACAAATTCAATAGAGCCCTGGTGGCTGTATTTGTTGGAGTCTAGGGAATCCTTCATTAGGGGCTACAGTGTCTAATTACTGACCTGATCTGTCTGTGTGGAGGAGCGGGTTTGCAAACTGTGCAGCTCCGTTCAATAAGTGCTGACAGAAAATAAACACGTTACAGTAATTAACCTTGACAGGCTAATGTGCCACTTGCAGCAGAAATGTGCTAATGATACAATTAATCCATAATTAAGACATGCCTTGTAATAACACTCAGCCCGCCTGTTGCTGGGAATCTGTAAGAGGATAAGATGGAGGTGGAGGAAAGGAGACTCTCTTCTCTCTCTGATGAAGTATTCAGTACGTCACGCAGGTCTCCCAAAATTAGGTGCCACCGTGGAGTTGCAGGACCCAGATCGCTGTGATGTGATTGGATTTTGATCCACGTGGAGGTTTCGGGTTGGTTATCGATTCAAGACCTTCTCCACATAGACACATTAAAAAATGGACGTTACTCTGTACTCCCAGCAGTGAAGAAGAAGGAGGTGTTGGGTGGTTTAGCAAGAGAAGCTTGTATGCCTTTCATTCAGTTTTCTGCATTTGCCTGGAACACGGCAATGCCTAACAAGTACAAATAGGTGAGGTAGAGGGTGCTGGGGCTGAGCTTTCTGCTCCAGGGTTCAACAATGGGACAGCATGTATAGTTCAGACCAGATGGAAAATTTCAGTGTGGCCGGGTGATGACGGCATAGTGTAACTCCCCTTCTATCAGTCCCCTCAACACCGATGTGGTGACATGACGCTCCGCTCAAGTGACTTAAGAGAAGTTTTGCCTTTGTACAGGGTTCATCATAAAAAGGAACCATGTAAAGTACAATTGTTTTGGCCTGTTCTTCTCGGTGTGGTCATGGGGACACGTGCAGGCGTGACTCTATGGAATCTCTGTCTTCCTGTTTCAGAGCTGTGCAGGAAGCGATCCCTTGTGACAACCGGAGCAGAGATCCCCCTCCTCATGGAGTTAGGTACTGGCTCCTGTAGAGGGCACCACTGAGCGGGCTCTCAGAACACAGAGGACCTGGGTCACTGCTGCCACTGTGCATCTAACTATCTAACTGCACCAGCATTCATTTCTAACCTTTCTAAATGAATCGATTAGCAAGAAAATCACAACAGAAAATGTTTGTTATTAGACTTTGGAAGAATTTCCCAAACCCTTTTTATCACAGTGTGCTACAGTAAATTATATTTATAGCTATAATTCAACAGAGCCCTTTTCCTTGGAATAGAGCATTAATTTCAGTTTTTAATTCAGAAACAAGTTCTTATAACACCCAGAAATAAGAATTCTATATTCTTATTTTATATAAATAAGAAGAAGAGCAGAGAAAAACATTTTTTAAAGAAAAATGGAATTTAAACTGTATTGACTGCATTTTTAAACAGAGGTGTAATAAGGTGTGTTCAACAGCTTTTTAAAAAGGTTTCAAAACAGCAGGATATAATGCAGCTGGTATCTTGCAGAGGAGTGACTAGATGCTCCGTCCTCAGTGAGTCAGTCAGGACTCATACCCATTTCCACTGCACCCACAGAGCCGGCCTGCTCAGTGGCTGAGGCTGAGGACACTAGCTTCAGCCAGTCTGGCATGCACTGGGCAGTGATTTTCTCTGTCTACAGCCAACAGCTCCAATGTGCAGTTTGTGAATGAGGTGGACAGTCTGGAGGGCTTCAGTGACCTGCACCTGACCCAGGCCTTCTCCAGTGGCATGGTCTTCTCCGAAGAAGTGCTGGACTCCCTCATATCTGCGGTGAGGAGACTCCTTCTCCTGGTGGCCTACGGTGATCCTCACTGGAAAAGGAACAGCAAAGAGAAACACATCACTCTTACATCACGGTAGAAGTATAGTAATACTTCACAGAATAGTACAGACAAGTGATGGTGAGGATTTTCCGTAAACCACAGGAAAAACAAAATAGGACACAGATACGACAGACGGTAAAGCAAAAATGCTCTATGATAAACTTTCAGTAAGATAGACCAATCACTTGAATTATCTCTTTTCGTGGCAAACGGTGCCCATACTTACTGAGTTTTTTCTCCTGTAGTGAAGCCTGTTTTTGAAACATTTCTGCATAATTTTGAACTAAATAAAGAGCAGTACTACTTTTTGAATCTGCCTCAGGATCTCTCTCTCTCTCTGAAAAAAGCTTGAAATTGTATCAATGGATGGGGGGAAATGTGATGCCATATTGACTCAATTACAAGAGGTCTAACAAAAAATATCTTTAGTAATAGAGCTAGGATTAGGGAAAGACTTTGGGTCTGGGTTTAAGTTAACACCGCAGGGATAATGTTAGGCTCAGGTTCAGAGTATATAATGAAAACGTACAAGAAAGAAATCAGAAACTACATCATTGAAATAACAGAAGACAAGAAGATAATTTATAAACAAGATGAAGTCAACAGGCCCTTCTTGTTCCCTTGGCTCTTCTGTAAGTAATTCAAGTCAACACTCTCATTCAATTCAAACTGATCCTGAAGGATTCCTGAGAACCATCTCCAATAACCCGCCAGGGCCGTTTTGTTACATAGGGTTCTAAGGCAGAGTACTCACTAACCGCCCAACTGTGCTCTCGTCTAGACCTACTTCAATAAGAATATGCCAGCTCTGATCTGCACTCTGGTGACGGCCGGGGCCACGCCCTCTCTGGAAGTCAAGCTGGCGGAGGAGAACGTCCTGGATGGAGGCTCTCCCCCCCTGCTGACATCACCACTGCGCCAGCGTTCCAAGATTGCTCAGCTGTCCCTGCAAGAGGAGCCCTTTGCTCATTTCTCTGTGAGTCTTTTACTCTGGCGCAGTATGTCCACACAGTAATCCTCAGTCACGGGATTTTTTTTACATGCTGCAGTGAAACCAAATAAATTTGTTCTTTTCCCTTAGAATGCTGTTACTGACTTCTTAGGCTGGCATAGTGGTTAGCATTGCTGGGGCCCTGAATTCAGTTCCTGGGGTGCTCTCTGTGTGGAGTTTGTGGGTCCTGCCCGTGTTTGTGGGGGCTTCCTCCAGGTACTCTGGTTTTCTCCCACAGTCCAAAGAAAAACTGCCAGGTTAATTGGCTTCTAGAGAAATCGGCCCTGGTGTGAGTGTCTGTATCTATGTATGCCCTGTGACCGACTAGTGTCCCGTCCAGGGTGCATCCTGACCTATGCCTGTTTCCTGCCTGGATAGGCTCCAGCTGCCCTGTGATCCTGAATTGGATGCAGTGGTTGGAAAAGGAATGGAAGCCCTTCTTAAACAGAGGAACAGTAAACTAAACTCCGGCTCTTTTCTGACTTCTGCCATGAGAAGTTGGAGCCGCTCTGCACTTCTTTTTGTGGTATTTTCTTCTCTGGAAGCAGAAAAAAGGCAGGGGGGTTGCCTGCACTTCACTGAGCAGCTTCTCTCTGCATGCTATTGGTGTACCTGCTCATGGTTGCTCTGTTTCCTCCTCAGTGTGGAAACTTCAAGGAGCTGTTCTGTCAGGCGATTGACTCCGCAGGGATCCTGTGCTTTGGTCTGTACCGCCTCTTTGACCCCCCTAACCCCGCCAGGAAAAGGTGAGACACTCATGGTTTTGGTATCATGTTTAACTTTGTATCAGTAAAGTCCAGCCATTCAGTCACTACTTTCTGCAATGTACACTGTAGCATGTTTTCCAGTGATCCTGTATATACCTCTCCGGCTTTATGTTCTCTGATTCAGCCTTGAGAAATATTATAATTCTTTCTGAAGGGATACTAATGCATTAGATGGGCAAATAACTATCTCAGAGGACTAAAGTGGCGAAGCTAAAAGCTACTCCAGGCAGTAGGTATTGAGTTCTTGCATCGTGTATTAAAATCCCCAAGACCCATGCCCTTGGCTGAGCCCTGGTGAAGGCAACATGAAACCCTCACATTACTGCAATACCTGTCACATTATGTCAAATTGATCCTGAAGTACCTGCTATGAGAAGGCATGAAAATAAAAAATGAACCATATCAATTTCCATGTCATCACCCCTTCTCCTCCCCCACCACCCCCCTTCCATGTTTCACTCCCTCTGTTTGTTTTTCCTCTCCTCTCCTCCCCCAGATTCGTCATTACGAACCCGGCACCAGATTTCCCTTTAAACCCCGATGACAAAGTCTTCTGTGCCATCCCCTTCCACCAGAGCCACCTGCTGGCACGCCAGAGTACTGCAGCTTTCCCTCCTCTCCACCAGCACCCGTAGGAGTCCTGACATGCTCAACACCAGCTGCTCCCATGTACAGAGAAGACAAGACGCGTTTAAAGCGCAGGATGACTATCGCAGAGCACTAATGCAGAGGCTATCTTATTAAACCATAATAAACAGCATTCCTCATTAAGCTACCAGTATCACTTTGTGTGCAAATTAAGTCTGCTAATAATATTTACAAGCACTGTACATATCTGACTGAAGACATTTGCATCAGTGATTTAATTCAGCACTGTCTGACTTGTGTATCAGGCCTGGACTAGCACGGCCATGCTGCCTGTGCCTTGTGCAATGGCTAGCACTTGTGTTTCATTTGCACTAAGCTTCTGAGAATAGCGCACACCTGACTGACGGCAATGGGACAGTCATCCTTCAGCTTCCAGCAGTAAGTCACAGGTTGTTCCTGACTGCTGACAGTGCGGTCATTCCTCACTAATATCTACCGATCTATTTGTTCCTGGCTGAGCCATTTCCCTTCCTGCTGCACCAGCTCTGACTTCACAAGCGCACATCATTCCCGGTCGTGCACTTCAAACCCCACCAAGCATCATCATGCTCATCGCTAATAGTTGTTCCATGATGGCCAGCTTTATTCCTTTGTTGTCCAGAGACTGAAGCCCAGCACATCTGAGCGGAGAGGATTATGTGGTGTTTAAGGGAAATGAGATGTTATTGTCTGGAGGGGGGGTCTATGTACCGAGCTGGTGAGAGGAGTGGGACAGCCAGGCAGTAGGTTTTCAACAGCTCCCTGATCAAAAGCTGCGCTGGGTCACTTTCAAACGAAGGGGAAATGGAAACCATTGTTGGGTTTTTTTTTTTTTAACCACCCTTATGAAAATTTTTGCTGTCCTCTGCAAATTCTGGATTTTTGTTTGAAAAATTTGCAGTGATCTGAAGAAAAGAGCACATCCTGTATTAAAAGAAGAAGTTATTTTTATTTATTTTGCCAGTTTCTCAGGCTGATCGTACTTCCCTCTACACAGTGGGGGTCCAGTGTTGATCCATATTTCACTGGTTAACCTCCTCTCTGGGTTAGTACCAACATCTACTGCTGGCTCCGTATAGCCACACTCATCTGATCCAAAGCACTGCCTCACCCACCTCGCCTTCCTCTGCTCCTGCCCACCTTCAATCTCTTCTGTGGTCCCTCTCGGTCCTCTTCCTTGTCCTGCCTGTTCATTCTCCACTCTCACCCCTCAGTGGGAAAATGGACAGCCACTCACTCCCTCACCAGGTTTTGGTGCCTGCTCAAGACTCCTTTTTCGGATAGCACCTGTGATCTCTCAGCTCTCCATTCAATTCTTCAGTTCTGGTCGCCAGACTGAAATAATGTTGTCAACTCTCAAACTGGTAATGTAATTGGCTTTTTGAGCTCATTCACTGTAACAAGGCAGGGAACCTTCGTTATTGCTTTGTCCTCGCAGCTCCTGTGAACTGTAATGTGTCAAATCTTACTATATAACATGACATTGCAAAATGCTTTCCCTGCATTTTCAGTTTGTGTTAGCTTGTCCATTTATTCGTTTATTCTTGTTGTACTTATATGATTCTTCTGGTCAACTCCATATGTTTAGTATGTATAGCAAAAGCAAATAAAAACAAATTCATCTCACAGATATTGCCACGATATTCTCAACTTGATTTGTATCTCAAAGAGAACCATGGTGGCCCAGGCCTGCATGACCTATGGATTCCCAATGAGCAGCAGTAAGCTTGATGGCTACAGCAGCACTGTATACTATGTTATGGCCAGCCAAGCAAAAATGGAAAATGGTGGGACTGAAAAGATCTATTGCAAGCCCTGTCCTCCTGCTAATGGCCCACTGCATGAGGATTTGTGAAAAGGGCCTCATGGCTCATGGTAGGTTTGTGGAAGGGGGCTGTTGTTTTTTCTGCCGTTCCTTTCTTACAAGACGGCTAGGTTGGGGTGCAGCCATGCCAGCTGTTAATTGAAATGTCACTCGGCCTGCTGTTGTCAGGCCCCTGTCAGCCTCGGTTTCCCCAGCTCTGAGACGTGTATGTTTGTCAGTTCGTATTGACTATCTGTCACTCATGGAAGATCGAGCCACAAAATGTCAAAACACAGTGGGTTCTCTGGTGAAAGGCTGCCTAATTCTAGGTGGCACGCGGTGCAGGGTAATGGAACACAGATGAAGGGAATTAGTTACACGAGGTCAGAAATACTAACGCAGGCAGCAGCGTCATGTGGCTTTCGTTAAGAACCTTACTTGCGATTTAAAAGACAGGGAAAGGGAGAGGCTGAGAAAGCTGCAGTACTTAGAACTGATTCACGTTCATTCAGATATCTGCAGACTCGCTCTTGCCCTGAATGAACATCTTTGTTCACTATTTGTTCTCTACAAGGTTGGGTGTTTGGGGGGGGGCAGGGCAGAGTAAAGTGTTTGCAATCGAGTTAAAGCCCTTCCCTTTTTTCCTCTGGCTTCACCTGGGTTATTGATCTTCTGTTGATCCAGTTCTGCTCAAATTATAACAGCCTTAGACAAATCATCGGTCACATTTTTCTCAGCCACAGTCAATTTGCAGTGATGTTCACCTTCATCGATACATTACCAAGTATGGATTGTGCTTTGAAATGTTTGATCTGCACGGGACAAGTTATTTTCCTTAGATCTAAGAAAGTGATAAGAGTCATTTTTATACTGCAGTACTAATACAATACATCTACCTCATGTTTGGCAAATGCCTCTAAATTTTGTGCTCTGCATTTTTCGCAAACATCGGCCAGTGTTTTTTGACACACGTCACCATTTTACCTTCTCAGGAATGAGACTGTCATTGAGAATAGAGGCAGGCGTGACTTTGTGCACTGTGTGTGTTGCAGAAAGCACTGCAGCCAGGGAGGTCTCTGTGAGGAGACAAGATATTTACAAATGTTGATGCCGCCGCACTCCTTTTCTTGCATTGCTCTGAAAGCTCCAGCGCAGCTCGCAGCTCTTCCAGGCCTGACCTTGTTTACTGCCCGTCAGAAGCCTTTCCTTGTGCTTTTGTTACTGAGCGGAGGCCTTCAGTGGGGAAAACGACAGATCCCTTCTTAACAATGCCATCCAGCGTGCCTGTTTTTTTGTAAATAGTGAAGATGGATCGAGTGGCAACAGGGAAAGCCGAAAAGCGAGCAAATGCACGAAGCAGAAGATGTGATGTCAGTTTGGGAATGAAATCTTCTGGGTGTTTACAAGTGTGACCTATAAAAACCTGCCCTGGAGTCTGCAGTCAGCCCCCCCCCCCCCAGTTCCGCTTTGTAAACACTTTGTAGACACAATGACAAGAACAATATCCTGACCTGCCATGAGGATTATAATTAATCGCAGGTGAAGCTGTTTGGGACACATCCAGAGAGTATGA